CCACCCCACGCTCAGGGAGGACCCCTCACCCCACCCGACCCCCACCCCACGCTCAGGGAGGACCCCTCACCCCACCCGACCCCGAGTGCTCCTGGGGAGTCAGGGAGCACACGGGCGGTGCGGCCGCCGCTTTCCGTCCCCACCCCAGGCTACACACCCTGCCCCCCCCAGGACACATTGGGGGGCCGTCACCAGGGTGTCCCAGGAGGAAGAGAGAAAGCCCCTCCCCCAGCCGGGGTCCAGACAAGGCTCAGCCATTTGGGGCTCTGTGACCCCCAAGCCCTCTGGACCTCTGTCTCCCCACTAGCCCCTGCGGGGCACCAACCACCACTCCCAGGTCAGCCTTTCCCTCTCCCTCTGAGAGAGGCCCCTGCCGCGCTCCCCAGGGGCGCAGTGTGGGCGGGGTCCTGACTCCACACCCAGTGAAAAACAAGCTGTGGAGAGGGCGGCCGTGGAAGCACGCGAGCCACGTGTGCGGCGTGGCCGTGGGTTCCGGTACACACCGAGCCCCTCCCAGCCCTGACGGGCGTCCACAGGAGGGATGTGTCCTCCGGGACGCGGGTGCCGTGGGGCGCAGAGCGCAGGAGCAGCGCCCCAGGCTGGGCTGGGCTTGGAGGCGTGGAGCGAGAGGCCCCACGGCTTGGCATCCATCACCCCAGGAGGTGGCAGGCGTGGGGGGGGCAGTGGTACCCCCCAGAGACGCAGAGCTGTGGGGCTCTGGGCCTTGGAGAGGTCACCGAGCCAGGCTGGGCTCCGGCTCATTAGCAGGGACACCTGTGAAGGCCGCGGAGGTGGCGGGCCCGGCCGCCTGCCTTACCTAATTGGACCCGAGGCAGCGGCGGCGGATGACAGAGGCCTCATTAGCAGAGACGGGTTCATTAGGCCTGTGCTTGATGTTCACGGTAAATGTCAGTCACGGAGGCTTTGTGACGTGGGGCCTGTGGCACTGGTCCCCTGCCGGCAGCCTGTTCCTCCCGTGTGGGGAGGGGCCCGAGGGGCCAGGACAGCCCAGGCAAGGCTGGCCCTGCTGCCGGCACCCCTGCCCTGGCCAAGGCAGACACAGCTAATCAATCACGGCACAGTCAACCCCCCCCCCCGCGGCCCCCATCAGAAGGGGTGGGTGTGGGGCGGTCTCATGCTGGCGGGTGAAGGTTCCCCACACAGTCCTGCGGGGGGGGGTGCCTCGGGAGCCCCAGACTCTGCAGCCATATTGCCGCAATGAAGCAGGGCGTAAGAGCTCTTCTGTGAGCATGTGCGATGAGGACCGCGAGTCTGGGGACAGGGTTGCATCCTGCTTGGGATGTCAAATGCCACAGCTGGGTTCTGTCATTTGGGGGTCTTTTGTCTACCGTCGCCTCCAACGATGCTGAAACTTGAGCAGGTGTCAAGCCACTTTCCCGCTCACGTCCTCCGACCCCCCGCTTCGCGGCTGATGGCTCCAGGGCACAGCCCCATGAGGGCTGGGGGTGCCCCCTCAGGACCAGGCACGGACCGAACACCGGGACCCATCATGCTTGGCTTAAGCCCGGCCAGGCATCTCGGGGCAGGCAGCGGGGAGGAGGCCTCCGGGAGGCCTGAGGCTGCCCCATACAGCGCTGCGTGACGCCCAGAGCCCAGAGCAGAGGGGGTCACCGGTGCAGGCCCTGGCAGCAGGGTTTGGTTGGAGTGTTACTAACGGCCGTGACTCTGGGTGATGGGGGCAGGAACGGATGACGTGCCCGGCAGGTGCCTGCATCTGCTGTGCGTGCTGTGGTTGTGTGAACTAGCTATCAGAGGGAGAGGGAGAGAACTCGCTGGCTGAGGCCCCGAGTTTCCAAGCTGGAGTTTACTAGGTGCAGGAACTGGTGGGTGGCGGGAAGATGCGGGGGTCTGGGCGGCCTTGTGGAATATGTGCAGACTGGGCTGCCTCCCCTCCCCTCCCTCCCCTGCTTTCCCCTCCCCTCCCCTGCCCTCCCCTCTCTTGCCTTCCCCTCCCCTCCCCTCCCTGCTGCCCTGCAGATGACGGGAAGCTGTCCCTGGAGGAGTTCCAGCTCTTCTTCGCCGACGGTGTCCTCAACGAGAAGGAGCTGGAGGACCTCTTCCACACCATCGACTCCGACAACACAGAGTAAGCCTGCGTCCCAGGCCTGGGCAGCGCAGAGCGGGCCCCGGAGGCCGACCTCCTCCTCCGAGGACTGGGGGGAACCTCTGAGCCAAGGACAGTCAAAGCCACGTTTCTTCAGGCAGAGATGTTTATCCAGATGTGTGTGGTGGAGCCCGGCTCCCACGGTCCCCTGTCAGCCGCTCTCCCGGGCGAGGGGCCGGGCCGAGGGGGCCCTGTGTGTGTGGCCCTGCCGGCCACCACCCCACCTCTCCCTGGGCCTGTGCGCGCTGCGTCCTCACGCTCAGAGAGAGGATGAGGGCTTTGTGCGTGGTAGTGGGGCAGGGACCGGGGCCAGGCTCAGAGGAGGAAGGCTGCGTAGGACCCAGAGCCCCAGGCCTCAGCAGGCCCAGCGGGGCCCACACTGCCCCCAGTGGTCCTGGGTTGGAGACAATGCACGGAGGACCCCGTACTGACCATGCAGGGCTGCTTGTACCAGAGGGGCAGGGGGGACCTCCACTGCTAACTCTCTCTCTCTCTCTCTTTGCAGCCATGTGGACACCAAGGAGTTATGCGGTAGGTGCTGGAGTAGCTGCAGTGGGGTACAGGGTCCCCTGTGGGACTGGGGTGAGGGCTGGGGTAGAGCAGGGCCCCCTGTGACCCCCATTTTGCTCTGTTCCCCAGATTACTTTGTGGAGCACATGGGGGACTATGAGGATGTCTTGGCCTCCCTGGAGACCCTGAACCACTCCGTCCTGAAGGCCATGGGCTACACCAAGAAGGTCAGCCGCATGGGCGCTGCCCACGAGGGTCCAGGTCCCGAGTTGGTTCTGGATTTTGGGGGGCTCCTGGCCCAGGTGGGCTGGGTTTGTGGTCGTGAGGGTGGATGTTGAGAGATGCTGTGAGGCGAATGAGAAGCGTGGTGAGTGGCCCTGGCTGTTGGGGTGTGGTTTGCAACATGAGGCCCCATTCCTGGGGCGGGGGCCAGCGGGCACTGGACCCGGGAGCCATGCTGGGAGGGGATGCTGGGGGCGTGGCCTCCACCCTCAGCCCAGAGCCTTGCTTTCTCCACCAGGGGAGGGGAGGCGTGCCACGTGAGTCTGGCACCGGCTGGCGCAGGGCAGAGGGACTGGGGTTTTGGTGCTTAGGCTCCCGGGGAATGCACAGGTGCAGGCCAGCTCCGGTGTTTCTAGATCAGGCGTGCCCCACATGCTGAGCGTCCCAACCTCACCGCTCGGCTCCGAGTTCCGAGTCTTGCTGCTGTGAACACATGCGCTGCTGGGGAGCTGGCTCTGCACGCGTTCCCTTCCAGGGTGCGGCCCCCTCCTGGAGCTGCACAGCGCAGGCGAGGGTCTGGCATCTGTGCGTGCTCGGGCTGGGGGGGGGCTGTGTCTCGGCAAGGCTGCCCCCAGCGTGACCGGCCACCTGTGGTAGTGCCGCCCTAGCCCAGGGAGAGGCCCTGGGTCTCCACAGAGCCCCGTGCACGCCTGCGGAGGTTGTGGGGGGCGTGGCCCGCGGCCTGCCGGGCGTTTCTTTCCCACTGGCTTGTTTGCAGAAAGGCAGCGTACTGGGGATGTCGAACGCCTTTCCGGGTCTGTTTTTTTGAGGCGATCACGATGTCGGTGGCTCCTGCCTTTCACATCAGCACCTCCCCAGCTTTCCTCCACTCATGGCGATGGCGAACCCCAGATCCTGGTTTAGAACCTTCCAGCCCCTTGAGGGAATGCATCTTCCTTCCCCAGTGATGTGGTGGCTGGGGAGAGGTGGCTGATCTGTTCAGACGCCTTTGATCCTTTTCTTTTTTTCCTTTTTTAAGGATCAGCTGATTTTCAGTTAGCTGTCCACAGACGGGCTCTCTTCAGATTCTCTCATTGAGTGAACTGTGGCAAGCCCCTGAGGTCCCTCCCGCCATCTTGCTCAGGGCTTGTGGGCAGCTGAGTGCTTTCTCCTCACACCGGGGCAGGGGCGGGGGTGCTGACACGGGAGGATTTGGGGGTCGGATGGTGAGGTGCCTTCCAGTGTGTTCTGAGAGAATGGGTGTCTCTAACATGGAGTCGTTCTTCTACTGAAAAAATACAATCTATCCCTAACTTTTGGAGGAGGAGTCGAGCAGGGATTTAGTCGGAATCTTAGTTTCAGTTGGAACTGCCCGGACACGGCGGTGCTCGACCTGACAGCAGGCAGGCGGGGGGTTGCCGCGGACAGGGTTCTGTCGGGAGGACGGAGGATACCTAGGGGAGGAACCTGGAATAGGATGGGGAGATGGCAAACAGACAACTCACACACAAGAGGAGTGGATGCTGAGTGCTGAGTGCGATTTAATGCAGAGAATAGTAAACTTTTATAACAGAAGTCTTCATGAGAAAGGGCAAAAGGTTACACAATCTTGCTGCATGGCTTCATTTTTAGGTGGTCACCAGCTGATCGCCTGACAGGCACTTGTTTCCGGCTTATCTCTAAGGAATACAATGATTACGACGTTTGTCACCAATTAACCATTATCTGTCTTTACAGAGGTCTTAACTTTCCCAGATAGATCTTTCCTGTTTCTTCTTTAATAGTAAACCTCAAAGAGACCTGTATCTAGCAATTCTTTAGGTCTAACAATTCTCTTAGTAAATAGCAGGAAATTCTTTCTCCTAAATAATTATCTCAGCAATTGCCATACATTCTTTCTGTTCTAGCCGGGCCTACAGCTTCTTGTACATCCCTTACAAACAATTCCTTCTGCTGAAGTGACTTTGTGAAACCCCCAATACTTTTATATTTACTTATAACTTGTCTACTAAACTCCATAAGAGGGGTTTCAGGGTAGCACTTAACTCTGGTGAGTTAGTCATATTTTTTAGGACACTCATCAGATATTGGAGTCGTCAACACTCTTCAGAAAGAGCTTTGTATAAGGGAATACTGACAATGAGCAAGTACAAAGAGCAGTAGAAGCAGTAAAAGATTAATAGGCACTCTTATGAGAAAGAAAGGCAGAAGCACATTTTTTCCAGGGGTTTTGCCAGCCTTTTCCCAGGAGTAGGCCTCTTAGAATCCCTATTCTCCGAGGTAGACTTCGGTGAAGTCCCAAAACTTGGAGATAGGTTTCTGTAAAGCCCCATTCTCTGAGGTAGACTTCGGTGAAGTCCCAAAACTCAGAGATAGGTCTCGAGGCCCCTATCATGGTCTGATAGATGGTTTCCCATGCTAAGCAGACTCTACTGGGGTCGGCGTGGCAGGGGGTGAAGGGTGACATGACCCCGCCCTTCCGTGGCAGCTCTGTCCTGCCTGGACTCTGGTCGGATTGCCTGCTGTCCGTCAGCTCTCAACCTCCACCTCAACCTCCCGAGTGCTACAACAGCAGCAGTGTACCACCATGCTGGCCATTTTCCTGCAAGACCTTAAATTTTGGCAAAGTTGTTCCTGTTTGTATTCCTTCCTTCCTTCCTTCCTACCTTCCTTCCTTCCTTCTTTCCTTCCTTCCTTCCTTCCTTCCTTCCTTCCTTCCTTCCTTCCTTCCTTCCTTTCCTTCTTTCCTTCTCTTTCTCTCTGTCTCTGTCTCTGTCTCTCTCTCTCTCTCACACACACACACACACCAGTACTAGGGCTTGAACTCAGAACCTGGGCACTACCTTGAGCTTTTTTTGCTCAAGGCTGGTGCTCAACCATCTGAGCCTCAGTTCCATTTCTGGCGTTTTGGTGGTTCATTGGAGATAAAGAGTCTCACAGAGTTCCCTACTTGGGCTGTCTCCACACTGCGATCCTCAGTGCTCAGACTCCTGAGGAGCGAGGACCACAGTGAGCTCCAGCACCCCGCAGCTCCAGTTCTAGGGATGCAGAAATTTGCCTTCTGCCGGGCCAGGCCTCTCATGCTGGTTGCTACAGCACTGCTGTCTCCCAGCTGATGCGGCGCTCACGGTCTGCCCGGGGTTCGTGCCTTCACCGGCGGTGCCTTGGCCTCGTTCTCTGGTGTAGCTGTTTAAGTTCCACCTCTGCTGCAGGTCTTGTTTGAACAGATGTGGTCACAGGACCTTGTGCAGCAGCTCTGAGCCGCGATTCCACAGCTGCTCTCCTGGCACCTGCCTTTCTGTGGTTTGCTCTATCCAGCTCATTGTGACTAGAAAGGCAGATGCCCTCGTTCTTATTTAACAGAGGCTTTAGAAAGCATCGACACCTCCTTACTACTAGCTGGCTAATCAAATAAAAAGAAAACACACACACACACACTGCATGCGCGCGCGCACACACACACACACACACTGCATGCGCGCGCACACACACACACCGCATGCACACACACGCACACACACACACTGCATGCGCACACGTGCACACACACACCGCATGCATGCACACACGCACACACACGCTTCCTCTTCCCTCCGGGATAATGGAACTTTAGAAATTCAAGCTGCTTTTCCCACTCCTTGTTGACTTAGTGCAGTCATCACGGAGACGCAGCAGCTCGTGGTTGGTGCTTCTCTTCTACATTCCCAGTGTCGCTGTGACTCCTGTTCACAGCCTCCCTTTGCAAGAATCTTTCCTGCCTGTGTACGTGCTTGTGGCTCCTACTTGTAATCTCATCTACCCAAGGAGGCTAAGACCTGGAGGATGGTGGTTCAAAGCCAGCCTGGGTAGAAAATTCCACAAGACTCCACCTCCAGTTCGTCAGCAAAATGCTGGATAGGAGGCATGGCTGAGCAAGAGGGCCAGGCCCCGAGTTCAAGCCTCAGCACTCACGCTGGCACACACGCTGACAGCTGCTGGCCCGGCCCCATCGCCGGCGCTGGCGGGGACGGTGAACATGTCAGCGTCTTTTTCCTCTCGGTACCTTTCTCGCACACTTGTTCTTGCTATTTCTTTTTCTGCCCAGTGTGTGCCCCGCATCTTTGTGGCCACTCGGCGGTCCTGGGCCGTGGGTGGCTTGGCGGCAGGGTGAGGGAGGAAGGCCGTGCGTGGGGCTGCCGCGGACAGACCAGACCGGCTCCCCGCTCCAGACATCCATCCCCACGCTCTTCCTGGTCCCAAGGCCCCAGCCCCCTCCTCTTCCTCTCCTCACCCCGGCCTGTTCCTCAGCCACGACTCCTATTGTGCAATGATTGCTAATGAATTCCCAGGCAGAGTGATGGATGGTTTGATGAGCCGTTTTCCCTCGCTCTGCCAAGGACTGGGCAGGACTGCAGGGTGCCGCCCGGTGGTGTGGGAAGCCAAGTCTTGGCAGAGGCAGCCTGGGAACAGCCCAGACCTGGACCTCAAGACCCCTGCACCCCTCCCCTGCCTTGGGACCACTGTTGGCCTTTCCTCCTCCCTCCGCCGCAGGGGGGGTCATCCACTGCTAGAAGCTTCTCAGCAAGGGAGCTCAGCTGAGAAATGTCCTGCTGTGAGCCCTGCTCACACTGGTCCTCCCGCTATTCCTAAGGCCCCTCCTTGCCTGGTGCTCCTCTCCCTCCTCCCTGCACCACACCCCAGGTGCCCCTCCCCCTCCTCCCTACACCACACCCCGTGCTCCTCCCCCTCCTCCCAGCCCCACACCCCGTGCTCCTCCCCCTCCTCCCAGCCCCACACCCCGTGCTCCTCCCCCTCCTCCCAGCCCCACACCCCGTGCTCCTCCCCCTCCTCCTTGCCCCTCCCCCCGTGCTCCTCCCTGCATCATGCCCATGCTTTCTTCCTGTCCTGGGCTGCACAGGTGCTTTTGTCATCTTAGTGTCATCATGAAGCCCAGGCCCCAAAGAATTCTTCGTGGAAGAAAAGGAGGCACCATGTTTGACAATTTGTACTGATTTACCACTGCTACAGCAAGAAAGCCACAGCCAGTCAATGCCGGCACCACTGCACCCCTACCAATTACCACTACCACCGCACCCCTACAATTACCACTACCACCGCACCCCTACAATTACCACTACCACCGCACCCCTACAATTACCACTACCACCGCACCCCTACAATTATCACGACCACCGCACCTCTACAATTACCACGACCACCGCACCCCACCAATTACCACGACCACCGCACCCCACCAATTACCACGACCACCGCACCCCACCAATTACCACGACCACCGCACCCCACCAATTGCCACGACCACCGCACCCCACCAATTACCACCACCACCGCACCCCACCAATTACCACCACCACCCTCACCACTGCACACCACCATCACTGCCATCACTGCTACCACACCATCCCATTGTTCGCAGTCTGTGTGTGTGTGTGTGTGTGTTCATCGTGGGGCTTGAGGTCTGACCCTGGGTGCTGCCCCTCAGCTCTTCAGCTCAAGATACATGCTCTACCACTTGAGTCACAGCGCCACTTCCACTTTTCTGGTGGTTCATTGGAGGTCAGAGTCTCAGAGACGATGTTGCTGCCCAGGCTGGCTTTGAACTTCAGTCCTCAGATCTCAGCCTCCTGAGTGGCTAGGATGACAGGTGTGGGCCGCCGGCGCTGGGCTCGTGTGTGTGTGTGTGTGTGTGTGTATGTGTGTGTGTGTGTGCATGTGTGTGTGTGTGTATGTGTGTGTATGTGTGTGTGTGTGTGTATGTGTGTGTGTGTGTGTGTGTGTGAAGCGCTTCCTGGGCTCTGTGCCTCACCTTTTGTCCTCGGCGGCCCTCGCGGCAGAGCTGTGAGCGCTCCGATCTCCTGGCCCTGCCTGGGCCCCCCGTCCCCCAGGTGTGGAGCGTGTCCCCCGCAAGGTGCAACGCGGCGCCAGCCCCTCCGGCCCCCCCAGCGCTCCCCTCCCCGCACAGGTGTATGAAGCGGGGAGCAGCGTGGACCAGTTCGTGACCCGCTTCCTCCTGAAGGAGACGGCCGGCCAGATCCAGTCGCTGCTCAGCTCCGTGGAGAGCGCCGTGGACGCCATCGAGGAGCAGACCAGCCAGATCCGGTGTGCGCCTGGGCCCTGCGGGGCCACTGGGGGGTGGTGATCGCCCCCTCTTCTCCGGGCATCTCACTGGTATCAGTCTCCGTCACCGCCTCAGCACAGAGTAGCAGAGTGGCCTCCAGAGAGGCCGGGAGGCTGGGGACTGCTGTGTCAGGCAGGAAGCTGGCAAACTCCCAGCCCTAGAGCCACACCTCTCAGACACGGGCCGGGGCGCAGGGTCCTAGGATGGCCCTGAGTTCCAGGCCTGGCTCTGCCCGGCTACCTGCGTGACCTGCCCCACAGACCTCACTTTTCCTCTATTACACGGGAGGCCACGCTGCCCACGCCACAGGCCTGGCCCCACGGGTCAGGGCTGCGCTGGCTTCAGCCCCTGGCTGTGCTTAGAACACACAGGCTGAGGCGGAATGGCTCTCAGAGCCTCCGGCTTCCCCCTCCCACCGCAGACAGGACCACTGCAAACCCAGCCACGTTGTCATGGAGACCTGGTTCGGAGGCCCCTCTCCTCCCTACGCCCCCAACCACAAGCTTGCCACCCCGGAGCAAGGGAAGAGCCTGTCGCCCGGTGAGAGGGGACCGCGGGTGCAGGGGTTCTGGGACAGGGCCCGGTCTGGGGCAGGGTGGACACTGGGGGCTCTGCCCCAAACCAGGGTCTCCGTTTCTGTTTCGCAGTCATCAGGGACCCAAAAGAGGAGGGCCTGGAGGCCCAGATCGGGAGGCTGGCAGAGCTGATTGGACGGCTGGAGAGCAAGGTAGGACCCGCCCCTATTCCACCCTCCTCCCAGGCGAAAGCTAGTGGTCGGACTGAGGGCAGATGCGGGGCCAGCGCGGGGTAAGGAGGCTGCTCGGGCAGTGCCCGGGAGCAGGCCAGTGACCGATCAGCAGGGCCGTGCTGCAGGGCGGGGAGGGGCAGCGGTGCAGGGAGGGCCCCGCCCGGTGGGGCACTCACACGGGGACCGTTTGTTGGAAGCAAGGAAGGTTGGCCGTGGACTCACTGACAGGTGGGCTCAGTTGTCCCACTACTGGCATTCCAACTCTGGTGCCATCTGTGTGGCTGTGTGGCCCTGGGCCGGGGACGTACCCTCTCTGAGGCTCAGATTCTCCTCTGATGGTAGAGAAGACAGCACATTGTACCCCTTGCCAATGGGCCTAACCCCAGAGCCAGGTGTCGGGTTAAGGTCAGTGCCAGCCATGTTCGAAGAGATCACTGGACACTGTTACCAGTTCCACTTGCCTGCACGTGTTCCTCTACCGGAGCGGGCCCTGGGGCCTGGGACGGGTGGCCCTGTCCACGTTCCTCCCAGAGGGCGCCAGTACCTGGAGGATTTGGGACTCACTCTGAGGGCGTCCCTTGTGAGACAAGGACTCCCCACCCGAGAGACGGGAGACCGTGGTTGGCAACAGGTCCCGGGGAGGAGGCTGGAGACCCACCGGGCTGAGGCCAAGGCGGGGTCCCCCTACCGCACGCACCGCCCCGAGGCCCAGAGCAGCGCCGGCTCCTGGGGACCCTGCTGCCCGTTGTCATGACAACTCAGTGGGGACTGAGGGGGGAGGAGGAGGAGGGAGGAAGGCTGTTTGAAGCTTATTTTTAGACCCTGGTTGCCCTAACAACCAGGCTGGCTGGCAACTTGGAGCACCTGGGCATCCTGGAGATGGGTGGGGTCCTCCTCCATAGCTCTGATTGGCCTAGGCCTGGAAGCCGGGGCCAGTCACCCCAAAGGCCCACCTAAGCCCCCTCCTGCCCCTCGGGGTGAGGGAGGAGGGAGGGGGTGGCCCGTGGGCATCCCTCATTCTTGCATGGAAAAGGCAGAGCGGCTGGCTGCAGCCCCTGCCCTCCCGGAGACCAGGCCTGAGAACCGGCTGGGCCTGCATGGGCAGGGGAGGGGGCACCCTTGGCTACCTAGCTGTGGGCCCAGGGTCAGGCAGAGGTGACTGTGTAGCTGCACCCCACCCCCACGGCCCGTGTCCCCACACCTGTGCACTGTATGCTGCAGCCAGACAGTCTGCCCTGTGGAGGGCGGGTGGTGGATAGGCAGCAGTTATTGGGGCGCCCAAGTTCAAGAATGGCAAAGGCTGCAACTGTGAGGTGTCTAAATCAAAGAATGATGAGAGAGCCGGCGCCGGTGGCTCCCGCTGTCATCCCAGCTACTCAGGAGGCTGAGGTCTGGAGATCGCTGTTCAAAGCCAGCCCAGGCAGGAAAGTCTGTGAGACTCTGATCTCCAGTGAACCACCAGAAAACCATAAGTGGCACTGTGGCTCAAGTGGTAGAGCGCTCGCCTTGAGCTGAAGAGCTGAGGGACAGCGCCCATGCCCAGAGTTCAAGCCCCACGACCAACCTGGGGGGAAAAAAGGCTGATGAGAGAGGCACTTGATTGAAACCCAGGCCCTGAGCTTAACCTGCGTCTGTGACCTGCAGCGCCTGTGAGCGTGGGGTGCGGGGCCCGCGCTCCAGGTGGTCACTCGTGCTCCCGGAGCAGATGGAGGGCAGCCGCCGGCCCGGAGGCTGGGGGTGAGCGGAGCCAGCCGTCTGAGCGGGGCTGGGGAGGCCATGGGGGGTGACGGGAGCCGTCTGAGCGGGGCTGAGGAGGCCAGGACCTCCCCACGCCTCCCTCAGCACCTCCCTGGCTGCCGGTGCGGGAGGCCAGAGGTGGCCGCAGGGAGTGGGGTCATGCGGTGTGCCAGTCAGGACACTCGGGGTGGACCCCATCCTGGTCCAGCCCTCAGGGCTCCCTGCGTGCCCTCCGGGGCGCCCAGCCGGCTCTCGGGGCCGCAGCCTCTGCCACTCCCTTGTGGCTGGGCCTGGCCCCAGCATCCAGGATCCTCAGCAAGGAGTGAGGGGAGGCAGCCCAGCGAGGTCAGCCCGGGCTGAGGCGCCAGTGCGGTGTGGGCAGGTGCTCAGGGCTGGGGCCCGGCGCTCCCGTGCATCGTGTGGGGTCCTGGAGGCTTCGGGTGGAGGCGGCCTCGGTCTCAGGCCCCTCTGGGACGTCCCTGTTTCAGACCCTCTGGTTTGACCTGGAGCAGCGCCTCTCGGATGACGAAGGCACCAACATGGTAAGGCCGGTCCCTGGGCCCCGTCCCGGACCCTGAGCCTGGACTCTCGGGATCTGAGGGTTCAATGCCCACCACCCCCCTTTCACGAGACCCCAGAAGGGGCACTGGGCCCAGGGGTGAGAGGCTCCAGGACTTGGGGGACAGGGCTGGGCAAGGCCAGGATGGTGGGTCCCACTGGGAGCTGGGGCCCCGTAGCCTCTCCATGTAGCCCTGTCTGGGTCTTGGTGGGCAGTGCTGTGGCCATTGCCCGTCAGAAATGGAGTCCTCCTTGGTCAGTTCTCACGTGTGAGGATGAAAAGAACGGGGGGCAGACATTTCGGGTTTACTTTGACCACAGTGTCTTGGACCCCCTGAAGTGAGATCCTGGGGGGCTGGACGAGGGCCAGGCCCACAGGTGCCCGCCCTCACCGCCATGCTGACCACACAGCACCTGCAGCTGGTCCGGCAGGAGATGGTGGTGTGCCCTGAGCAGCTGAGCAGCTTCCTGGACTCCCTGCGCCAGTACCTGAGGGGCACCGCAGGAGCAGGGAGCTGCTTCCAGTGAGTGAGCAGGGGCGGGGCTTCCAGTGGGTGGGCCGGGCTTCCTTGAGGGGCGTGACAGGCTTCCAGTGAGTGAGGGGTGGGGGCGTGGCTTCCTTGATGAGCCTGACTTCCAGTGAGTGAGCAGGGGGCGGGGCTTCCAGTGGGTGCGCAGGGCTTCCTTGAGGGGCATGATGGGCTTCCAGTGAGTGAGGGGTGGGGGCGTGGCTTCCTTGATGAGCCTGACTTCCAGTGAGTGAGCAGGGGCGGGGCTTCCTTGAGGGGCGTGACTTCCAGTTAGTGAGGGGAGGGGGAGGGGAGGCTTCCAGGGGTGGGGTTCCATGTGAGTGGGCGTGGCTTCCAGTGTTTGAGAGGCGTGGCTTCCAGCAAGTGGGTAAGGAAGGGATGGGTGCAGGGCTCAGGACCATGGGGAGCTCAACTGCTCATGATGACCTTTGCCAGTTGCTGGCGAAAGACCAGAGCGGCGGCAGCAGCGCCTGCCTCAGCCTGCACTGGGCAGCAGGTGCCCGTCCCCTCCCTGTCCCCTCCCCATCCCTTATTGAGTTAGGAGCCCCAGCTCCCCATGGAGTCTTAAATTGGGCATAATGAACTAATGATAGGATTAGTGGGCTCCATGCCCTGCGTGGTCCCTTGTGGCCCAGCCCTGCCCCTAATGGCCGGGCAGGCTCCAGGAGACTTTGAATACAGCAGCGAGGAGGAGAGCCACGGCAGGGTGCTTGGATGGAAAGGCGGAAGTTGTTTTTAATGACTGAACTCTTCAGCATCATCTCTCATTCCACCCTGAGCCCCACGAGCATCAGGGCCTCAGCCTTGGGCCAGGAGCTGCTCCCGGGGCTCCTGTCCCTCCCTCTCGTCAGAAAAGCAGCGGCATGGAGGCCTCCTGCTGCCCTCCCAGGAGGCCCTGGAGTTCTTAGGTGGGGGGAGGGGACTGGAGAGCGGTGGGGTGCCGCTGTGGTCCGGTCCGAGGGCCGCCAAGGGCCGGGCCGGGCAGCCTCCTGCGGACCAGGCCTCCGCTTCCACCCCTGTAGCATCGCCGCCGTGAAGCTATCGGACGGCTTCACCTTCGTCATCTACGAGTTCTGGGAGACGGACGAGGAGTGGAAGAGGTGAGTGAGCCAAGACCCCCCCCGTACCCCGGGCAGGGAGGGTAGGAACGAGTCTGGCACCCAGGTTACAAAACCCTCACCCGTCTGGAAAGCTGGCCGGCCTGGGCCTCTCCAGCAGCAGCAGGCTCTCGAGCATCTTGGCCCACGCCAGCCCCCCAGGGCGCCGAGGTCCCACAGCGGTGGGGTGTGAGCCGCGCAGCTCCAAGATGAGAATCACTGACGAGCCAGCCCCGTCCCTCCTCCCGGGCTCTTCATCCCGCTGTGGAGGGCTGGCTCGGCCTTGAGCACCTTCAGCCTGCCACCCTGAGGGCAGCCATGCCAGTGTGGGCCAGTGCCAGGCAGAAAGCAGTGCTTGGTGGACAGCCACCCTGTGCAAAGGTGTCCCCTGCTCACCAAGCACCCCTGACCCCCCCTGTGTGGACACAGGTGCTGTGTCCCCTCCCCACCTCCCATGGACATTCCCTGTTGGCCGCAGCCCCCAGCGAAGGGCTCAGGACCTCCTCCTGGTGCTCACGCCCGTGGTGAGGTCCTCACCTGAACGGACCCCCCAGGGGACGAGCTGCAGGGGTGGCCCCGCCTGGCTAACCGTCTGCTCCACGCCGCAGGCACCTGCAGAGCCCGGTGTGCAAGGCGTTCCGGCACGTCAAGGTGGACACGCTGAGCCAGCCTGAGGCCCTCTCCCGGATCTCTGTGCCAGGTACAGATGCCCACAGGCAGCCCTGCAGGGACGTCCCATCCGCTGAGTGCCCAGTGAGAGCCCTTGCCCAAGAGAGGGGCAGAAGAGCCCACGAGCACCCTCCACAGGCTGGACCCGGGCAGGGGAGAGCTGAGCCCACTGGACAGGGGTGCGCCTGGACACCTGGCTGGGCAGTGGGCAGCTTTGCCTGGTCCAGTAGGCCCCGCCCCCCCAGCCCTGGTGCATGTGGAGCTGATGGGGGGGGGCATGGGGGGGAGGGGCAGGCCTGCCGCCCTCCCTGGAGCCCCAGGGGAAGGGCCTGTTCATTGCCCACCCTCTTGTGGGTTCCTCCCTCTCTCCTCTAGCTGCCTGGTGCACCGTGGGCCGGGATTGACCCCTTCCTGTGACCGGAGGACGCCTGCTCTTTTCTAGCAACTTTGGTACACAGCAGTCTTTTCAGCACCCCCTCCCCTCTGAGCAGCAGCCCCTCCCCCTCAGCAGAGCATCCTCAGTTGCTGGGGTCCTGGGGTCCAGCGGAGGCCAACCGGGGAGGGGAGGCCTGCAGGACGCACCCCTCCCCCTGGCTCTCAGCAGGACCCATCCCCCCAGGCAGGCTGCTTCTCCCCTCCCCCTCGCTGACTGTCCACGAACCTGATAGGCCTGTGACCCCTAGTGCCCGGCCTAGGCCTGGGCCGGGCCTGTAGGTGCCAGTAGAGCCCCCGCCAGTGCTGTGCTAGGCAGAGGCACCCAATAATAAAGTCTGGTTGGGATAGTGTGTGCTGTGTTTCTGTCCCCAACCCAGCCTCACGTCCCCATGTCCCCATTCTTAGTTTTGACTCGGGGGGGGGGAGGGAGTGCAGAGACCCAGCCACCATCCTCTCATCACCAGACCTGGGGTGCAGAGGTTTGCTGCAGGGGCAGAGGCGCGGTGGGCAGAGCCAGGCGGGGGGGGGGTCAGGGTTGTCCCCCCCGCCGGGCCAAGCCCCTGCAGGGACTGACAGGAAGCCCCCTCCCCTTCACGGAACCACCAGAGTCTTTGAGTCCTTCGTGGCTGAGTATTAATGAAAGGCGACCTTCCCCTGCCTGGCCAGGAGGCCCCCCGCCATCACAGCCGCAGCCCCTGCGCAGGATGGCACTTGGCCATGGGACGGGTGTGGCCGCCATGGTGTGCCTATCAGAGGATTGGAGCCATCCTGCGCCCTCTCAGGGTGGCACTCGGGCACCCTGGGCCACGCCTGGCCGCAGGCACCTCCGTGTGGGGTGCGGTGGGGGAAGGAAGTGCACAGGAGCGCGGCCCATCCGCCCGGTCTGGCTGTCCGCCATCCACCTCTGGACACAATGAGCAGGTCATCGGGACCCGAGGCCAGGTGTGGGGAGGGGCCGCTGGCGGGTGCCGGGGTTCTTCCAGGAATGGGAGCAGGACAGTACGCCAGAGGCCGCCAGGGGTGGGACTGCGACGTGAGAGCCCCCTCCCCCCGGCGACGTGAGAGCCCCCCTCCCCCCCGGCGACGTGAGAGCCCCCCTCCCCCCGGCTTCAGCATCCGTGCAGAAGAGTTGGGGGACACATGGAGCCATCGCCACCCACCGGCTACAGTCCCAGATGTGCCCAGCTCCCCACCCGTCCCGCAGAAGTGTCCGGAATGCCAGCCCCTCCCCCGCCCCGTGCCAGGCACCATCTTCTGCCCACCTGTGGCCCAGGCAGCTCCTGCCCAGCTTACGGCGTTTGGACAGGAGCACAGAGCCCAGCGCGCTCTGGGCAAATGAGGAGGGCGAGCAGGGGGAGCAGGGCTTTCCTGGTCCTGGGGTCCGGGGTGCGCCCTGAGGGGCAGCCAGCTCCCGGGTGCGTCCTGGTCGCAGCCAAGGCTCCCGGTCCTGTGCTCTGCTCAGAGCCTGGCTTGCATCCACTGCACCCCCAAAAGCCCTGGGCTCAACACCCCAAAGCAGGGCTCTTGGGCCTCAGTCCCTGCTTCCTTACTCAGCGTATGCTGCAAAAGCTAAGCTGGGGTCCTAACCTGGGAGCCCCGCAAAGGTGACCTTAGGAACTGGGCCGCGCACACCCTGGCTGGGTAATGAAGACGAGATGCAATGGAGTTCAGCTAACAATGCTCGGTAATTCAGGATGAGCCCGGGAGGACCGGCATCAGAGGACACAGACGTTTGGGGGAAGCAGCCGCATGACAAGAACAGCGGGCACCGGAGGGCTGCATCTGCAGAGCAGGGAGCCCAGGGGCTCCAAGGGGAGCAGGAGGAGGCGGGGGAAGGAGGCTCTGGAAACCCCAACCAGCCACATGGCTGGGACCGTGGCTACAGGGGTGCAGAGCCTCACGCTTCCACGTGCAAGACACCAGCTGTGCCCACGCACCGTGGCCACCGCCGGGGCCTGACGCCACCCTTCCTCCCATCACACCGGGGCCCCGCGGTGACTCAGTATCTCCAGGAAGAAGGAAGCCACAGGGACCGGCCACAGGCACCCCTAGAAGAGCTCCAAGACAGCCACTGCCGTGCTGTGCCCGAAGATGAAGGTGCCGAGCAGCACGGAGAGCGCCCCCCACAGCTCCAGGCAGCACCTGCCGAGGAGACCCCGTCAGCGCCAGCTCCACGCGCCGCACCCACAGGCCCCACGCGCACGATGCGTGTGAGCCGAGGCCGAGCGTTCGCATCCACCCCGACCCGAGACTCGCCTCATAGCTTTGTCCCTCATCCCAGTGTTTCACCAAAGAAATGCAGGAGGGACAACATTTAACCCCGCTTGTGCTCCACTCTGCACCCACTGATTCGCCCTCCCCCAGGTCCGGGGAGGCAGGGGGGAGCTCACCCACAAACTTCCCAGTGAGGCCACAGTGTCTGTGTGTCTGTGGGCAGGAAGAGCTGGAAGATGGCAGCAAATGGCCAGACTGCCAGAGACTCTGGCCCCTTCACGGAGGCTGGAAGGGACCCCTGCCACAGATGGGGCCTCCTCGGCCGCTCAGGGTCGGGGTGGGGCGGGGCGGGGAGGGGGGGAGGCTGGGGCGGGAGTGACTGGCTGCAGCACTGCCTGCCGGTCCCTGACAGACTGGAGAACCACAGCCGCGAGAAGAAGAACATCATGGAGAAAGAGCCTCCGTTAAGGACTGCTGAGTGTGGACCACGGGAGACAGAGCAGCGGCTCCTGCAGTGCTGCAGGGCACGGGCTATTTGGGGGCCAGATGGCCAGGGCCAGCCGCATTCCTGAGTGGGGCTTAAAGATGCCCAGAGCGACTCTCATGAGTGCAGACGTGGCCAGGCCACACCTGCGGCTGGAGCAGAGCCAGCTCAGGCTCATGGAACCGGAGGACGGGGCCCCACTCCAGGCCCCATCCACCGTCCCCCTGGGACCTGTGTGACCCGACTTGGAGATGAGTCACTCAAATGCAATGATGTGAAAGAGGCCACCTGGTGCAGCATGGGCCCTTCTTCTAGAAGGATCTTTGAGAGAGAGAAACCACACAGAGATGGCAAGGGTCACAGACTGGTGTGACGCAGCCACAAGCCAAGGGACACCTGGAGAACTGTGCACATCACGGCCCTGCCTGCTCACCTCACATTAGTGTGTGTGTGCATGTGTGTGTGTGCGTGTGCTGGCGCACGTGTGTGTGCGTGTGTGTGCACGCGCGCACGTGTGTGTGAGTGCGAGTGTGTGCGTGTGTGTGCGCGTGCGCGTGTGTACGCGCACATGTGTGAATGCGTGTGTGAGTGTGCGTGTGCGCGTGTGCACGCACGTGTGTGTGGATGTGCGTGTGTGTGCGTGAGTGTGTGCATGTGTGCATGTGTGTACGTGTGTGTGTACGTGTGTGTGCATGTGTGTGTACGTGTGTGTGCGCACATGTGTGTGTGTGTGCACGCTCATTAGCCATCTGCGGTCACTTCAGCAGCTGAGAGCCAGCACACGGCCTGCCTGTCTCCCCTGCGTGTGCACATCTGCGCAGCGGGAATCAGGTTCCCACGGGTCCTGGACCCCAGAGGGCCAGGACCAGCCCTGGCCGTGTCCGGCTGCAAAGCCAGCTTCCTGACTCCTCCTCCTCTGTAGGGTGGAGGCCCTGCCCCACATCAGGACCTGCTGCCCAGCAACACACGGCCACCAGGCCCCTGTGAGACAGGACCGGCCCGCGCCCCCGGCCTGCCCTGGGGCTGAGCCCCCCCACAGACCCCTGAAGGCTGAGGGACAGGAGCTGGGCCTCGCCACCCAGACGGGGCCCATGGCACACCGGGGCTTTTGGAATGTGGGTGAGGAGGATGGGCAGCACCCCAGCCACGCCCACGGGGGGCACTCACTGGACTCCTGGTCCCACAGGCTCCACGTCCGCCGCACAGATGAGACACAGACCTGTGAGGAGACACGGGTCGCCCGATGCCCCTTGTCAGACCCAAGAGCTGTGGTCCGGGGTCCCCGGGACCTGCGAGGGCTCTCCCCACAGGTGGCCCTGGCTCAGGGCCTGCTGAGCGTTCAGGGGTGAGGACTCCAGCTCAGCACCCCAAAACAAGCCAGCCAGGAGGCTGGTAAGGACATGCACTTGGGCAACACGGCCTCTGGGCAGCCTGTGAGGAGATGGGGCGCATCAGACCCCGCACCCCCACCCCAGGTCATTCCCTGCACTCCTCCTCAGCACCCCCCACTCCCCACACCCTGCGCTGTCCAGAGCGCAGCCCGACCTGTGGGCGGGGGGACACCACAGCAGAGGCCACCCAGGAGTCTCAGCCTCCCAGAACCTGGCGTTCCCACGCCCTGGCTCTCCAGCCTCTCTCTGGTTCTCAGCCCCTGGCCCTTGATTCCACCATTTCCCGAGGCTGGAGGCTACCGACACGGCCAGCCCCACCACTCACCGGGGGGCCCTGGCCCTGCTTCCTCTGAACCCCAAGAACCCGCAGCTTTTGCAGACACAGAAACCCTCTATGACCTGCAGTGCCCTGTGGCTGTAGCCATTCAGGTTTCCTGGCTGTGGCTACCCCTGTGGGACTAGAACCTTCCAGAACCTCGACCTCTCACACAGGGAGTCTGCGCAGAGACGGGCCCGGCGGGGAGGACAAACACCCACCCGGGAAGATGAAGATGAAGAAGGCGCTGACGCCCCCGACGGTGCGGGTGATCTGGCTGAGGTCGGGCAGCACCAGGGCCAGGGCCAGCGTCACGGCCACCCACAGGACAGTCAGCGGCAGCCGTACCCACGGCCCCGAGGGGTCGGCCAGCGCCCAGGGACCCTGCGCGCCCCAGCTCCTCTTCCAGAAGTCCTGCAGCACGGACCTGCAGCGTGTGGAGACATTCGCCCCTCCACAGCTGGCCGGGGTCCCCGCGCCCCGGACCAGGAGTCCCTGCCGCTCCCCCACCAGCTCCGCCTGGCCGGGCAGGGCGCCCGCTATCAGGCCCCCCCCCCATCGCCCAGCCCGGCCTCACCTCCCCAGGAAGAGCACGATGGGGTAGATTGTCACAATGGAGACCGCGAAGAGCACACGGGCCACGAGGACAGCCACGTCGTCCTCAGGGTAGGACATCAAGATGTCCGAGGACACCTCCGTCCCGAAGGTCAGGAAGCCGTAAACCCCTGCAGGAGGTGCTGAGACTAAAAAAGTGCCTCCTCTTCCCAGCACCTCAAGGTGCTCATGGTGGAAGGTTCTAGAAGGTTCTGTTCTGCTCTTTCCCAAGGCTGCCCAGTTGTAGGACTGGACCACAGACTTGCCCCTGCTGAGGTCTGGAGGTGGAGGAAAGAAAAGGTGCCAGCCCCGAGAGCAGACACCTGTCGGAGTGGGCCCAAAACCTGGGTCTGTGTGGTGGACGTGCTGTGCAGCCTCGGGCATGTCAGAGCCCTCTCTGGGCTGCACTTCCATCCTTGCCTGTCACCAGGGGAGCGCATGTCCCTCTCCCGCCTCCTCTCTGAACAGGCAGGCGCTTGGGAGGCGGCCGGAGCAGAGGCAGGGCTCAGCCCTGAACGCGTAGCGCAAAGCCAAGGCTGGGCCTCCGCTGTCCCATCTATGAAATGGGCGCTAAGGGTTCAACGAGCCCGGGAGGCAAAGGGCCGGGCCGGGCCCGCGGCAGGCTCTAGACCCCCTGGCCCACTCCTCTACCCTCTGCCCCCTGCCCCCCAACCCCGCAGGCCCACCTGTCAGCGAGTAGACCACACAGCAGGCCAGCAGGGACAGCACGGAGAGCAGGACCCAGTGGCAGAGGCTCTGCCGACGCATGCTGCAGTAGATGGACACGGCCGCCTCGTGGCACTGGAGGGCAGAGCGGGCTCAGGGAGGGGGCCGTGGGGAGGGGCACCCCCACAGCACGGGGAAAGACCAGACGAGAACCACAGACCTCGGAGCAGAAGACATTCCCAGAGGCACTGGGAGCTCAAACGGTCCTGAGGTTCAGGTCCCAGGCAGGGGTCCTGGGATTTCTGGGCCAACATGTTGGGAGGGAGCGGGCTCCGGGGGGAGGGCTGCCCAGGGCACCTCCCGCCTCCAGCTTGCCCTTCTGCCCCCATTTATGACCACTGGAACTGTCTCAAATGCCCCAGGGGACCTGCCACCCCAGTGGGACCTGGGTGGTGCAGTGTAGAGAGCGGGGAGGGTCTGGGAGGGGTGGGGAGGGTCTGGGAGGGTGGCGACACCTGGCAGGGACTGTCAAGGTCTGTGGAGTTACATGGAACATCCAATGCAGACGCTCACAGGGAACGGACACAGCCAATGCAGATCGCGTTTCTCACCCCAGGGTGGGCCAGGCGTGTTCTGTGGCCGAGGGGCTGGGAGGAGAGTCCCCCCTACACAGCCCTGGGTCTGACCCTTCCCGGTCCCCACCACTATGCTGTCTCTCAGCATGGGGTGCCTCCCCCATGTCTCTCCCTGAACTTAGACTGCCTGCACCCTGATGGGTGGCCCCAGGGCCTTTGCCCGAGCTGCTCCCTGGGGCTCCCCTTCTGCCAGCCCCTACTCATGCGGAGGGGAGCAATCTCCTCTCATGGGGTTCCATGAATTCAGCTCTGCCTTGTCCGGGTCTGCCTTGCTCAGGGCTCTACCTCAGGACAAGCGCAGCGCAGCCCAGCTGACCACCATTCTGGGGTCACCCATGAACACCCCCTCAAGTCCACTCGTGGCAGAGGCCTCCCTCTAATCAGCCCTGGGTCCCACCCCACATTAATGCCAGGCCTACGTGGTGGAAGGTGGGCCGCTGTGCCCGCCAGGCACAGACGTATCTGAGCCCATTTGGGGAAGGCGGATTGGGCACCTGTGCTTTCCGCCCTGGGCGTCTCTGGGGCCACGGGAGAGCTTGGGCAGGCAGTGGGGGTCACCCTGGCCTCCCATGAGTGGTATGGCACCCCGTGGGTACATTGCCAGAAAAGCAGAAGTGGCGCTATGGCTCCAAGTGGTACAGCACTCACCTTGAGTGTAAAAGCTCAGGGACAGCACCCAGGCCCTGAGTTCAAGCCCATAACCGACCAAAAGAATACAAATAAATAAATGCAAATAAAAACGAAAACTAGCGGGGTGTTGGTAGCTTACGCCTGGAAGCCCAGCTACATGGGAGACCGAGATGGGGAGAATTATGGTTTGAGGCCAGCCCAGACACACACAAAGACCCTAGCTCAAGCACCAGCTGGGGAGAGTGGCATGCAGCTGTCATTCCAGCTACCCGTGAGGCTGAGATTAGAAGGATCATGGTTCCAGCCAAACCTGAGCCAAAAGTTCACAGGGGATCTCCATCTCAGTGGAAGAAGCTGGGCATAGTGACCGGTACCTGTCATCCCAACTACAAATAGACACGTAAAATAGGTGGATCGCAGTCCAGGCATGAGCCCAGGCGGGAAGTGAGACCTGACCTCAAAGTCAGCAGCACAACAGAAGAGCCAGGGCCTGGCTCAGACCCTTCTCTGCCTCTTCCAGAGCCATCTACAGAACTGGCCTCAGCCATTCTGTGACTCAACTGTGCTTTGTTCTGCCTGCCTAGCAAATGAGAGGCCCTGAGTTCAAACATCAGTACCACCACCAATAATAGTAAGCAGGGCGCCGGTGGCTCACGCCTGTCATCCTTGCTACTCAGGAGGCTGAGATCTGAGGATCATGGTTCAAAGCCAGCCCAGGCAGGAAGGCCGGTGAGACTCTTATCTCCAATGAACCACCAGAAAACTGGAAGTGGCATTGTGGCTCAAGTGGTAGAGCTCTCGCCTTGAGCTGAAGAGCTGAGGGACAGCGCCCAGGCCCAGAGTTCAAGCCCTACAACTGACCAAAATAATCATAGTAATTATTATTATAACCACAGGTTTCAGAAGTTCCAGAAGCCGGTGCGGCCAGAACAGACCTTGGAGCCATCTGCTCCTCCTGGCCTGGCCTGGCCTGGCCTGGCGCGCGCACTCACGTTTGGGGGAGAGAGGACACCTTGGAACCAGGCCAGGGATCCTGACCAGCACGGCCACCTCCATCCAGCCTCAGACCTACCCCCGGCCCCTGGCTCTCCAAGGCAGAGCCTGCCACCTCGCCCTGCCAGCTCTCCCTCCCAGCCCCCAGCGCAGCAGCCTGTGTCCCTGGAAACCACAGCAGCCTGGTTGCTAGGGGAAGCGAAGGGTAGAGGTGAGCGGCAAGCATCTGGTAGGCCGCGCCGGCTTCCGCACCATGTGCTTGGGCCAGGAGAGGGGCAGTTATGCTAAATCCAGATGACAGCTGACGGCTAACACCGGGCTGTGCAGCTTTCAAAATATTGCGTGTGCAGAAGAAATGTGAGAAAGTCACGTGGCTTGGCGGAGCCCCAGAAACCACACTGTTAAAAGGAAGAGAAATCAGAAATGTTTCCGATTGTTTTTTTTTTTCCTCCAAAATGGTTCTCACAAACACAAGAGGAAGAAAGAGGAGGCAGCTGGACACGAGGGGCCAGGACGCCAGGGCTGCAAAGCGGCCCTGCTGGAGGAGCTGAGGGGCCCCACTCCTCCTTGGGTGTGGAGGTGCTGGTGGAGGGCAGGGTTTCGGGACGGGGGCTACCTTCCTCCAGTGAGCTGCGGCAGGTGGCTCTAGCTGCCCCCGGCTCTCCGAGCTGCCTGTGGCTTCACCTGGTCCCAGGTGGGCCTCCCGGGCTTCGCTCTGGACCTGTGGGCCTCCCTCCCCAGGCTGCCTCCCTCTCCCGCCAGACTCCCTCTCAGCAGCACGGCCTGCAGCGCTGTCTCTGAATGCCCCTCGCCTGCTTCCCCGTGGTCCTCATGCCTGTGACATTCAAGAATCCTGCCCTGAGCTCACGCCTGTCACCCTAGCTACTCAGGAGGCTGAGATCTGAACATCAAGGCTCAAAGCCAGCCTGGGTGTGAGAATCATCTCCAAAACTCTTCATCTCACAAAACCGGAAGTGGCGCAGTGGCTCAAGTGGTAGAGGCTCACCTTGAGCTGAAGAGCTGAGGGACAGCACCCAGGCCCAGCGTTCAAGCCCCATGACCAACCACAAAAAAGAATCCTGGCCTGCTCCGCAGCTTCCAGGTCTCTCCAGCCCTGTGGCCGGTTCACAGCAAGGCCTGAGGTGGAATCCGCCCGCATCCAGCTCTGTGGGCAGCCATGGGCAGCCCTGGGTCTGCAGCGCGGCCACAGTCCTAGGAGCATCTGCCAAGAGGCTCGGGTCCCAGTCCCCAGCCAGCAAGTGCAGGGCTGCAGATGCTGACACCACAGGTGGGGGACAGTTCCCAGTTTCAGTGACAACTCGCGCCTCCTAGAGAGCCCAGACGCTCTGTGCGCAGTCTCCAGCTGACAGCTGCTGGAAGCCATTAAGCGCTAAGTCCTCAAATGTCCCCCTCTTTCCCCCAAACAGGGAGCCCCACGGTCCCCAGGGATCAGGGAGCCTCTGGAAATAGCACAGTGGACGCTTACCTGAAACCCGAAGCAGATGGTGGGAAAGACACTGAGCGCAGAGGCCCAGGAGGCGGGGCTGTGGGGAGACAAGAACAGGGAGTGTGGGGGTCTGAATCAGCCTGAACTGGCTCTGCGGGTGCTCTGCCGCTTGTGCCACGACCCCACTCTCCCACTTTAGCTATCTTTCAGATAGGGCCTTGCGCTTTCTTGCTCAAGCTGTCCTCAGACGGTGATCCTCCCACCCCTGCTCCTGTCTTCCTGCCTCCACAGGAGCATGCCGCCACCCCCAGGGCACTGATGGAGAGCAGTTTGCTAACTTCTTGCAAGGGTTGTTCTTGAACTGTGATCTTTCTAATCTCGACACCCCGGCTGAGAGGATGAATTTAAAGAAGAGCAGAGACACATGACCACGTGGGCCGTAGGTGTGTTTGCAGTGTTTATGGCCAGCTTTGGGGGTGGAAAGGAGGTTTATTAAATGTTGCACTTGCTAAATCTGGCTCTGCTGACATTTGGCAAGATGACATTCTCCACGTGGGCAGGACTCGGGCAAGGCAGCCGCTAGGGGAGCTGCCTCCCCCCCCTTGCGTGCACACACACACACACACACACTCACATACTCACACACACACACACACACACTCACACACACACAACTGCCTCCTTCCCAGGCCAGCCACCTCCATCAGCGCGCCTCCCACAGCCCAGGCCGCTTTGTTCTCATCCAAACTAAGAGGACGAGGTGTGCACGCCCTCTGTGGGGTCTTTGCCTGGTGGGTCTGGTCCTTTTGTCAGGCAGCCCCCCCTGCCTGCCTCCGGCACGCTCAGAGACATGCTACAGAAGGGTCAGGAGCAGCACCCCTCTGCCTGGTCCTGTTTCTGTCTAGCTGCCTGTCAGTCTGTCTCTCTGCCTGCCTGCCTGCATGTCTGTCTCTGTCTCTCTGTCTATCTGTCTCTGTCTCTTTCTGTCTCTCTGTCTCTGTCCCTGTCTCTGTCTCTTTCTGTCTCTGTCTCTCTCTGTCTCTGTCTCTCTCTGTCTCTGTCCCTGTCCCTGTCTGTCTCTGTCTCTTTCTGACTCTGTCCCTGTCTCTGTCTCTCTGTCTTTCTCTCTCTGTGCAGGTATGCAGGAGAGTTGTATTGGGGTAGCCAAGATTACAGGAATGAGTTCCCATGCCCATCTGGTCCCATTTCTTCCCCTGACCCCCACAGAACATAGTCAGGTGATCTCTTTCGGAGAAAATCAGGTCACACCTCGTGCTTCAACAGAGCTCCAATCCCTGTCCCGGCTCCAGGTCTCTCCGAGATATCCTACCCCACTTGCTGCCTGGCGCGGCTCCCTCTGTCCCTAGAAGCTGTCTCTGCTGCCTCTGCCTGAACCTAGAAGCCCGCCCCAGCTGGGGTAGCCTTCAGTGCCTTCGTGCACAACTAGGTCTGGTCCTTTATTTCTTGTTTCTTTTTCTTTTTGTGCCAGTCTAGGGCCTGGGCGCTGTCCCTGAGCTTTTTTGCTCAAGGCTAGCACTCTATCACTTGAGCCACAGCTCCACATCTGACTTTTTGCTGGCTTATTCGAGTCTCATTGACTGTCCTGCCTGAGCTGGCTTTGGCCCCTGATCTGATCTGATCTCAGCCTCGTGAGTAGCTAGGATGACAGGTGTGAGCCGCTGTGCCTGGCTAATGACGTGCGCTTTGGCGAGAAGGGGCATTGGGGCCGCTCTCCCCTCACCCGAGCCGTCAGGGCCTCACACAAGGGGCCCAGGCTCTGCGGTGGACCTGGGCCCGCTTCTCCCGAGGGAAGCCGGGAAAGCCGTTCTCACAAACTCACCTTGGCAAAGGCGGAGGCTCCCGCAGCAGCCCCGGAGGCCGAAGGTAGTACTGCATCGTGACGACCAGAGCCAGGTAGCAGGCAGCCAAGGTGCCCAGCATGCTGCCGTGGAGAGGGGCAGCGTCAGCGGCCACTCAGCCGCACCCTGCCAGAGGCGTGGCAGCCCCGTACCTGGTGTACTTCTGGAAAGCGATCTCCCTGGGTGCCGACAGGGGCAGGATGACCAGCACAGACAGCAGGGGCAGCGTGAAACGCTGGGTAGCGTACCAGGGCTGGGGGTCCCCGAGCAGGAGGGAGTCACACACTGGCGGGGACAGGGGTGGGCGCTGAAGCAGCAAGCACAGCTTGGCCACGCAGGACAGGCACGGGGCCTCAGGAAGGAAGGAGCCAGAACCTCCCAGAAATCCATTCCACGAGCACTCGGGAGCTCTGCCCAGGGCCCCACCCTGCGGCTGTGGCATCCTCGCTGGCCACAGGCCCTTTCTGGCTTGCACAGGAGCTCCGCGGCTGTGTGGGCTGTGCCCGCTGCTGGGGGCTCGGCCATCCTGAGGGAGCCGCTTCGCGCCTCACTTTCGTTCTGCTGCCACGCGATAACCTGAATCAATGCTAAGGAAGAGCTAAACAATGCTGTTGCCCACCTTGGCCTAATGGAAGTTTCCAGCATCCTGCACCCACCAACATACAGAACATCCGTTTTCTTGACCCGTTGGACTGAGCGCAAGCTGGGACCAGGCCTCAACAATCTAAATCACCCCAAGGATGCTCTCTGCCCATGATACAATTGAGACAGAAACCAAGCAGGGATCTGGAAAACTCCAGACTGAAATGAAACAATCCAAACATCTGACAAGTCAAGGAAGAAACAGTAAAAAAAAAAAAAAAAAAACCAACCCCGATTCCGGTGGCTCATGCCTGTAATCCTGGCTGAGATCTGAGGATCACGGTTCAAAGCCAGCCAAGAGCAGGAAAGTCTTTGAGTCTCTTATCTCCACTAAATTACTCAGAAAAAGTTGCAAGTGGCGCTGTGGCTCAAGTGGTAGAGCACCAGCCTTGAGCACAGAGAGGCTCAGGGACAGCGCCCAGGCCCTGAGTTCAAGCCCCAAGACCAGCAGAAAATAAAATTTAAAAAAATATATACTTTGGCATAAAAGTGAAAAAAAGAACATACTAGAACTGGTTAAGATGCAGCAAAAACAGCACTTAGCAGAAGAGTCTCACTAGGAGGCGAGAAGCTGGGGTTGTGGGGGAGAGTTCCGGGGGTCTCCGCGAGGTATTCATGCCATGGCTTGTTTTCCCATCTGTAAAAGGGATTATGTCTTCGAGACACCCTAGCTGCAGCCACAGTTCCCTCGTGTGTGTCTACCTGTTATAATACACTCACTCTTCCTTCCCTGCCCTTTTGAGAGCGTGGCACGGCCATACCTCTGCTGTCCCCACCCCCGGGGGGCAGCCAGTGTCTACTGTCCCCACGTCTACTGTACACCTGCGGCCCAGCACAGTACTCACGCTTCTCCAGCTGGTCCCCGATCACCCTGAGGAAGGCCACGGAGATCATGAGCAGGTTGAGCAGGAAGCAGGCCTCACACAGCTTCCCCATGGCCGGGCCACACAGCCCGCGGACCACACCCTGGTAGGAGTCCTGGCCGCTGACGGAGGCTGCATAGCCCAGGATGGCCAGCCCACTGGTCAGGAAGACCAAGGAGACCTGTAAGAAGGACCGCAGGACTCCAGCCAGCCACCCCAGGGGGGTGGCATGCTGCACCGAGACCTCATCCTCCGCAGAGACAGGCCAGGGCCCCGCCCCGCCCCGCCCCGCCCCGCCCCGCCCTTCCAGTCTGCCAGCCTGTGTCTTCATCTGTGCTTCTAACACGGCTCAGCCTCAGCCGGACAGAGGAGACAGCAGAAAGCCAGGGGTGACATGGCTCTCCAGAGCTGGCTGGAGAGGCAGAGTGGGTGGTTAGGAACACAAGGCGGAGCAGGCCTGCCTGGGCCCCAAATCCGACTCTGCTGGTCACCCGCCGTGTGGCGTGAGGAAGACGGAGAGCCGCTGCGGTGCCAGCTGTGAAGTGGGAGCAGGCCTGGGGTGCTGGTGATGCCTTCCGCCTGGTGACCTGCCCGGGCCAGTGCTCGTCCTTCCCACCGCCTCCCGCTGCCTCTACATCAGCTCTGATGTTTTGTTCCCACATTTTCAGACATACAGGAGGGGTGCAACCCACACAGCAGGCCATCTCTCCTGGGTCAGGGAGAAGCCCCGCCTCTGCCATGTGGCCCCGCCCACAGAGCCATGCCCATGCAAAGCCCCGCCCACCAAGCCCTAGACCTGGTTCCTTTGTTTACCCCTCCTACACCCAACCCAAGCCCGGCCACTACAGTGTGGCAGGGCCAGCCCAGCCGTGGTGTGTCGAGTTGAGTAATGGTGATTTGTGCCAACCCAGCAGCACCTCCAGTCCTCAGTGCTATGCTCCAGGAAGACCGCAGGGTCTTTTCAAATTAGCATCTAGCCTGGCACGTGGCACAGGGGGCACACAGCACAAGGCAGACATCTGCGGTTGAAGGGACAGGAGGGGAACAGAGGCGCCTCAGCCCACCAGTCCCTACTCCCAGAGCTGATGACCACAAAGTGACCGCACCCAGACACCCCATCTGCACCAGGCCAGAGGGGGAATGCTTGAGGTGGGTGCTCTAGAAGTCTGCGAAGCCGGCTTCTAGACCAGGCACCTTAGGCTGCCCAGGCACTACCCCGGATGGCCTCCGCCCACGGCCTCATTAGCGGAGAGGGGGCCGCCATCTTGCAGAACAAGACAGGGGATCCTGCCTGGGAAAGCCACAGCAGTGCCTGCCTGTCCCTGGAGGCCCGGGGACTTACCAGCACCACCAGGAAGGTGGGCAGCACGCCTCCCGCCTGGTGGAAGGCCCAGGGGAAGTTGAGCAGGCCAGCTCCCAGTGCAGACTTGATGAGAATGAAGACGGCGCCCAGCGAGGACAAGCTGGGGGTGGCGGCCGCAGGGTGAGGCTTCTCTGTTAGGCCTCTGTTCCCTTGGGTCTGCCCCTCCATGGCTGTCCTGACAAAGGACAGAGGCTAAGAGCCATCTTCACCCTTCTTCTTCCCCAGCTTCCAAGCCTAAGGACTCATCCCAAACTTTCCTCTCCTCAGACCCAACCCTCCCCGCCCCCCCTATCCCCCCGCCACCAGACCCTCACCTCAGCCATAGCCTGAACATGACCCTGACTCCTTTGTGTGGGCTGAACTCTGGGCCTGGGCGCTGACCCTCAGCTCTTCAGCTCAAGGCTAGTGCTCTACCACTTGAGCCATAGTGCTATTCTGGCTTTTTCTGTTTATGTGGTGCTGAGGAATCGAACCCAGAGCCTCATGCATGCAAGGCAAGTGCTCTACCACTGATGCCCCTTCCCAGCCCCTTTCTTCCCTTGTTCAAACCACCAACCTCCTCCTAGGGAGCCTCAATCTCCCAACCTCCACCCACCCCTGCTTCTTAAGGTCCACACCCATCATGCCCCCAGGCCCTCCTCCTTACCCCCAAACCCCAACTCCAAGGTAGCAGACAGCCCACGTCTGGGCCAAAGCGCCGGGTGTCAGACTTCTTTCTGGTGCTTTGGCTGCAGTCTAGCTCTCGGGAGAGGCACTAATCAGCTGTTCATGAAGCGGGCCTGGAGGGTGTGTGACGGGATCCGGGTTCAAAGCCTAGAAGGACAGGGACATAGGGGAGCAAGACTACCTATCCCCAGAGTGTCTAGCTCTGACTTCTGACCTGATCAGTGAGGCTCAAGACCTCCTACCACCCACCCAGGCCCCGCCCTGGGGTGGCGCCAGTCCAGCTGCCAGTTCAGGGGCTAAGCTCAGCTAGAAGCCCCTGGGGGCAGGCCCGCAGCAGCCCCACCCTCCACAGGTCCGAGGGTCAGCTGCTGCTTCACAGCCTTTGCCTGCGGCGCCCCTTGGCCTGGGGCCCGCCGAGCCCTCAGGAAGGCTGTGAGGTCCACAAGCACTCCCTCGGACATCCTCTCCCGTCCCTCCTCCTCCGGCTTCCAGGCAGACTGACCCTGGGCCAGCCGGGGCTGCCATTCTCCAGTGTGTGCTTCCCTGTTATCTCTGGGAACACAGGCCTGTGTCACCGAGCCCAGCTATTGTGCTTTCCCTGTGGCTGGTATAATGGGTGCACGTGGCCCAGTGAGCCATGGAGTCTCTTGAACTTTTTTACCTGGGCTGGCCCCAGACGCACTCCCATGGAGAAATCTTGCCCTGGCAGGATGTTTACACCATGTCCTCCTTGGTTCCTCCGTGGGAAGATGACCGGTGTGAGCTGAAGAGGGCGGTGAGGCCCGTGTAGCAGCCCAGGCTGGACGAGGGTCCGGACCACAGGCGGTGTTCACACAGACTGCTCCCTGCCCCTCCTCCAAAACCTGGCCTCCTGAGAAAGAAGATAAAGGGCCTTGCATCAGGTGGAGTCAGATGCTGCGGCCTGGAGTACAACCCCCCTCCCCAGCCACCCACCACGGGTGCCTCGTTAGTTGCTCATTAATGTGCATGACTTGGAAATTGGCCACTGGGCTGTGAAATCGCAAGCATCTGGAAGAAAATCTCTTAATTCGGAGGGGGTTTGGTATCCGCCCTCTGCTGGCATCCCGGGCGGCATGGCCTTTGGGAGCCGCGCAGGGGTGCCCTGCGGTTCCCATCCACCAGCACTGCCGGCCCGGGCCCTGGAGCAGAGGAGCACACCGCCGGCCTCTGCGCAGGAGCACCCCCTGCTGGCAAGCATTCTCCCCTCTGTATTTGGAGCCAGCACAACTTGCTGGGTTGGCAGCTGTCCACCAGGACTGCCCAAGGATCCTTCCTTTCTTCCCCATGGACCCGTGGCAGACGCCAGGCTGGGCTCCTCATGGGAAAGTGGCCTTGGCTAGTTTCTCTGCGCTTACACCCATTAAGAAGTTCTGGATCTGATGAAGGCAGGTCTTGGGCCAGCAATGGTGTCTTTGTCTCCCCCACACCCTTGGCTTCTTGGGGCAGAGGCTGGGGGCTGTAAGGACAGCACCCCTACAGCAGCTTCCACGGTCCTCCACAGGAAATGCACAAGGGCCCCAAGATGTCTGTAGCTCAACCTGGGGCATCCAGGTGGGCCTTGAGAGTAAGTGCCCTTGTAACAGGACGCGAGGGGTCAGAGGTCGGCCAGGGACGGTGATGGTGATGGTGATGGGAAGACAGGCACAGAGGCTGGAGTGGAAGGCCTGGAAGACAGGATGGGGCGGAGAACGCGGGTGTGAGGCGACCACCAGAGATGGGAAAGGCAGGGCCGACACAGCTGGGTGACAAACCTGCCACTCTCACCACTTTCCAGTGTGCATCTGAGTGGCTCTGTCGCTCACAAGGCTGTGTAACTGTACACCAATTCAGACCATTTCCATCACCCCAGAAGAAAGCCTCTTCCCATGGGCCCTGGCAACCACTAATCTGCTTTGTCTCCAGGGATTTGTCTGTTTGGGACCTTTCATGTAAATGTGATCACACACACGTGCCCTTCCGTGCGTGCTGGGGCTTGGCGAGCCTCCCCGCTGCGTACCCTTGTTCCACCATCTGGGGGCTCTCCCCCCACTGCTCCTAGAGGGGCTGGGGGGCCTCTGGAAGCTTTTCAACTAGGGTCCCAGGTGGCGTGCTCTCAAGTGGCAGGAGGGGGGAGTGGAGGGCCAGGCCCAGGACTCTTTCTAGGATTGCTTCTATTTTTAAACATCCAAGTTTTTAAGAATCTTAGTCATGGGGCTGGGAAGGTGGCTCAGTGGTAGAGCGCTTACCTTGCATGCATGAGGCCCTGGGTTCGATTCCTCAGCACCACATATGCAAAAAGAAAAAAGCCGGAAGTGGCACTGTGGCTCAATGGTAGAGCACTAGCCTTGAACTGAAGAGCTGAGGGACAGCGCCCAGGCCCAGAGTTCAGGCCCCACGACTGGACCAAAAAAAAAAAAAAGAATCTTAAGTCTTTCTCTGAAATCTCCCATCTAATCTCTGGCAGCCATGTGAGAAACACTTGACGGTGCTCTGCGAATCTCCCTCCTCCCTTTCCATCGGGCTCCTCTACCTGTGGCACCCCTGTGCTCCCGCACTCAGGCCAGGCCAGCCCGTTTCTTTTGGGAGCCTGCGGCAGCCTTGCAGACTGGGCACCTGAACCCGCTGCCGGTCACGGCTCTGGGAGAGCTCAAGCTTTCTCTGCTGGGCTGGCCGGCCCTGGGGACTTCGCCTCAGTGGAGCTCCCGTGTCTCCAGGCAAGGACTGGACCTGAGTGTCCCATTCACAGGGCAGGATGGGGAGGAGCAGGGTTTCTCTGCTGTCACCACTCATATGGTTAAGGTCCCTGGGTGACTCTCCTTGGAAGGGACTCTTCCTGTGGACTGCTGGCCAATCTGTGGTGGTGGCTAGCTGTTGCCTTGATGGTCTTTTTTTTTGTGGGTGCTTACTAAATGATGAATCCATATGAGACCCTCAGATGGGTTGGGGGAGCCACCAGTGTCACTTCCAGAGGCCTGGCTGGACCACATACCCAAACAGCTCCTACCTGATGTTATTCAGCCAACACACTGCGCTGCCCGAGGACCATGCAAGACCGTACACACACTGGGGCTACAAACAGTCTGAATCGTCAATCTAGGGTCAGGCTGACAGCCTCTCTAGAACATTCCCCCCAGGCAGACCACTGAAATCCCACTGCCATCATCCATCGAGGGCCACAAGCCTCCAGGACTCTTCTGAATGGTGCACCCTGGGGAGTTAGACAAGGGACCCCAGCACACGGGCAGCCACAGAGAAGCAGAAGAGCTGCACCTCAACAAAATGAAAACATCTAAGCTTCATAGGGTACCATAAGAAGGTGAAGAAAGGTCAGGGCAGGGCTCAAGCCGTACAGGGACTACCTCACAAGCACAAGGCCTTGAGTTCAAACCCCAATACTGCCAAAAGAAAAATATACACACTTCCCCTGAAAAAAAGTGAAGACACTCCATCAAAATGAAAGAACGTATTTGTTAGTCCAATAAGGACTTGTATTTGGAACATAAAATAAATTCTTAGTTTGTTAATAAAAATTAAAACAATCCAATTAAAAAAGTAGATGAAGACTAGACATTCTCCACAAAGGAGATGCACAAATGGCCAAAGAACCCACAGGAAGATTCTGCATCTGACTAGGCTTTATGAACATGCAAACCAAGATGACAAGAGCACGGAGGCACTCGGGGGCCTAACCAGACAGCCACTTCTGCAGTACTGGCACACCACTTTACAAGGTGCCACACGGAGCAAGGAGACTTCCCTGCTCCCAGTGCTGCTCACTGCAGCAGCATGGGACATCACACCCCAAGTGGCCCATCCACAGCCATCAAAAAGAAGCAAGTTCTGACACCTGGGAGAACCTTGAAGCCAGGACACACAGTGAGAGAGAACAGCTACAAGGGCGCTATGTGGACACTCCACTGAAATGAAACAGGCAAATCCCCGACAGAGAGCTGGGGGGCTGGAGCGGGGAGAAGATGGGTGACTGCTAATGGGGCTGTGGTTTGTTCTGGGACAGTGTTCTGGAGTTAGCATGCCAACTATTGTTTGCATAACCTACTGGGTTATACACTGTAAAGTGGAACATCTTGGAGCAATTAACAGGTTAACTCAGAATTCCTGCAGATCGTCATAAACAGAAATGGACAAGTGAAAGAACTTGTTACACAAATTTTCAGCTTCAGACAGGTTATGTATATTTATTGAAAATTCCTCACCAACAATGGTGAAATCAAGACCCCAAATTACAAAACATGATGGCAGTTGATACTTATAAAAATAAAGCAAAGGTCTATGTTTCACAGATTTGTGCAAGTTTCCTTCAAATCTGTCCTCTCATCCAAAAGGAGACTACGGAATCTGTGTTGTTTCTCATGGTGTAATAGTAGAAAACTGCATTCCATTAACAAAAAAAATAGCTTTGCTTCAAATAGCACAAGTCTTTAAAGTGACTCTTCTCCACAATAAATATAGAAAATAGCCTTTAACAAGCGCATGTATCTTAGCTCAGTCAAGGCAGCTGAGCTTACGGAGAAAATATGTTGTCCTCTCAGGGCAGAGCCATCTCTGGTGCCTGGTCAGGCATGACACCACGTGAGGCTGCCCATGGAGTCCCTCTTACTGGTGCCCAGGGCCATGAGGTACTTCAGGAGGTACTGCGGGCCTGGGTGCATCGGAGGAGGGGAGGCCCTGGCATGGGGACCCCTTGAAACACTGTCTGGGCTCCACTTGCCCACCAGGGTGATCAGGACAATGGTCAGCCAGACCGATGGTCACACTGACGGGGTCTTAGGTGGGTGGGCCTGCTGTATGAGCTGTGGGCGTTTCACCCTGGGCTTCCTCCGCTTCGGCCTGCTCTTGGCCTTATTGATCTGCACCACAAAGAAGGCCAGGACCACCATGGCTCCCAGGAAGGCAAAGACAGGGATGGTCTGGCCTACCTCCTGGTTGTAGCGGCCGGGCCTAATGCCTGCAAAAGGACAGGGAGGTAAGGATTAGCAGAACAGCCTTTCTGTAAGAGTTGCTCATCAGAAGCTAAAGGCCAACAGATTCATTAGCTGACCTGGCAAGGCAGACCTCACTTTGCAGCCTGAGCCCAGTAACCGAGGCTGCTATGTGGTGTGGGGGAGTGTGGGCAGGACAGAATGTACAGCTGCACGCTCAGCATCTGAGCATGAGCACTCCTGTGTGCATGAGGGACTTTGCTCCTAAAAGCACCTGAAGATAGTCAAGTCTCCATCTAGGGAGAAAGAGGGCAGGCCAAGGGCTGTTGGCCAGAGGCCCTACAGCATGGGACACCTGGTTGGAGAACCGGGGCGCCCTGCAGCATGGAACACCTGGCTGGAGGATGGGGGCGCCCTGCCTGTGTGGGACATCTGGCTGGAGGACCCTTGTGGAGATGTTGCTGAGGGGTCCTAAGCTTGTCCCCATCACTGCACCCTAGGCCTGAGTCAACACACCAAGTCTCTGGGACTAGGTGGCAAAGACTAAGCCTATATGATTCCTGGAGTTCTTGGTCTATTTCTGAAGTCCAAAGAGCTCCCTATTGGGAACTGTGACCCCCCCCACCCCCAGAAGGTGAAGTTCCCAGAGCTGCTCTGTGCTTAGCTAAGTGACTTGGTATCAATGGTCTGGCTGAAGGAGAACCTAGCTACAAAGTCTACTTAGGCTTCAGTGTCCTCCAGGGTCAGGGCAGGACACACCTCAGGGTCACAGGGGATCTCAGGCAGGAGGGGCTGGGAGAAGAAACAGGAGACCTGCCAGTGCACAGCTAGCTGCAGCAGGTAGCCTGAAGAACACAATACATGCTGGTTGCACAACTTTCATATGGTATGCAAGTGACTAGAAACTTTAATAAAAGAAATGGAGAATGGACTTCGGAAAGAGTGCCATCTCCTGCTCTTGGTCTTGCTGATCTGTATCACACAGGTGTCCAGGGTTATCATGGTTCCCAGGAAGGCAAACGGGTGGCCTGGCCCACCTCTGGAGGAGGGAGGATGGAGGGCAGACCGTGGGACAACTCCAAAGACTCAGCATGCGAGGAAGTGCCTAGGGGCTCACCTCCAGGAATGTCCCAGGCACCACTCTCTCCAGGGGACAAGGGTCTCACTTGAGGGCGATTCGATCGGAAGTTGGGTAACACCACTTTGTCCAGGTCGATGGAGAGTAACTTCTGGTGTTTCCAAAGATTACTTCAAAGAAATGATGAAAACAAAGATAACCAAGTGCACCAGCCCAGGAAGCTTAACCCAAGCCTGAGAGCAACACGTGTCTACAGGGCACAGGGAAGGGCTTTGTCTGCCTAACTACCAGCTCAGCAGCCAGTGGGAGCCATATTTTCCAGGCCAAAACCAACCACGTGCCATAGACCTTAGGATTTGTAACCTCCTGGGTTTGTAACACTGCACACCAGCCCCTCTCCACTCACAGCACTTCTGCAAGGAGCAGTGGATGGAGGAGCCCGAGTTCCTCTCCCGAAGCAGTAAGAGAGTGGGCTCCACTTGAACTTCCTGAGGATGTACAGAGCACAGTGAGGACACCCCAACAGCAAATGAGAACTGGGCATCTTGTGCCCTTAAGGAAACCACCATCCACAGAAAGAATGGGATAAAACTCACGAGCAGCCAAGCAGTGAAAAGAAGCAACACCTGTCTGCTTGGGCTGAAGAGTGGCAGCCACCAATAAAGCATGCACGCTCTGTGCAGGACAAGGTGTCCTACGAGAGGCAGTGTGCTCTGTGGGAGGGACACGGTGCTCTGGGTGGAGGACATTTCTGTGAGAGGAACGTGGTGCTCTGGTGGGAGACATTTCTCTCTGTGAGAGGAACACAGCACACTGGGTGGGGACATTTCACTCTGAGAGGGACGTGGTGCTCTGGGTGGAGGACATTTCGCTCTGTGAGGGACATTTTGCTCCATGAGAGGAATGTGTTGAGCGTTCAAGACATGGTTACTGCTGGTCTTGGTCTGAGGAACTTGTTTGAGCCAGTGCAACTAGACCTGAAGAGCATAGGGGCTGAGCACTGTGGACAGCAGCACGCGACTCGGGAGGGCCAGTTCAACAGAGGGAGGAGCAGGCCTGCAGCTGGAGAATGCCCGGCTTTTCTGCTGTCATCAGGAAGCTATCAGTGTGTGTCTGGTTGAATGAAGCCAAAGACAGCCAGTCCCATCAGCAGCACCAGGGTGGAGGTTATGCTTTCCTAGGAGCAGGACTGGGAATTTCCAAGCCCATAACCTGCCTGTACTTGTGCACGACTTTATAGCTCTGGGGTAACCAATCTGGACATTTAACTGACAGTCATGGAATTGGTCATATCTGGGCTGAGTGTGCAGGGGCCACTCTGGATTCTAAGGGTCACTCTACTCTGGAGCCCCATGACTTGATGATGGCATTTCTCGGGGGAGCAGTCACAGTACCAGCATGCTAACATCACCACCACTGAAGTCTTTCAGAGAAGGCAGGTACAGGTGGAGCAACCTCCTCCTAGGGCTGAGGCTCCGAGTGCATCTAAGGACATTTCACACAGCACAGCCCCAGACCCTGCTGCTGGCCAACACTACACTCTAGTCTTCACAGATTCAGAGGTCTCTGAGGACTGAGAATAATTTCCCACTAGATGGGAAATGTGAGATAAATTGATGCAGCAGCACGTTAAGGAGCAGGGATTACTGAGGGTCAGTCAGAATCAAAACTGCAGGAGTTGGCCTTTATCAGCACCTCCACGCACCTCAGGTTTGCTGGCTTATTTGATGTGGATGGTAGATAGCGAGGGCACCATTATCTGTTTCAGAGCCTTAAGCAGCTTGTGGAGAATAATTGAGTTTCTGGAACTTTAGTGAACACTGACTGTCCTTTGAGTATGAGCTGCTGAGCATGTCTGGAATTTAAAGTCTGGCTTGAATGCCAGAATAATAGAGGGTTATAAATACATAGGGTGCAAAAATGGAAGCATGTCAGAAGTTTAAATAATGGGGTGACACTAGAATGGCAACGTATTCAGTAATTAAAAGTTTAGAGAGAAGACACTGTGCTGTTCTAGTCTCCTTGTTTGCGCTGAGGCGCACTCTGGGTGAAGACACAGCACAGGCTGACCAAGAGCTGTTCACGTCAAGCAGAGAACACTTTGCCTCCAGTACGTGTGGAGCCCTGTCCACCATCCACTCTGATCCCCGTAGGGGAGGAAAGAGCATGTGGAGGGAACTCTTGTCAGCGGAAGTGGGGGCAAGGCAGTGGCACTCTTCTGATGGCAGTTCCTGGGACACCTGGCCCCTCCTCCTCCTTTCATCCTGCTGCGGCAGGAGCACTGGAGAGAGGGAGAGCAGGGACTGGCTTATCCTGACCAAGAGAGACAGCGGTGGAACTTCATGGGTGGCCACTGGAGCGGGATGACTGGAGAAGAGGCGGGGGAGGGGGAGCAGGGCCACTCGGGCCCACAGACAGCGCTACAGCGCTCAGTAGGCGGAGGTCAGGGATGGCACAAGAGGAGGTGCTCCCCTAGCAATACAACCAGCACTGAAGGTGAACGGTGCCCACACACTCACCTGGGTGGGCTTCCATGGCAGAGGCCACACCCACAGGCAGTCTCCGCCCTGGCAAGTGGCAAGAGCCTGTGTTTCACTTCATAGTGGACAGCTCAGCAGGGAGTGCAACCGCAGAGGGTAATCACAAGCCCTACGCTGAGCCACGGTGGCTGCTTTTGGGGGGGGGGTGGTGTCTTGGGTTTTAAACAAGGACTGCCAGAGCAGCACAATGCTTATTTCCCAAGGCACTCTTTTGTGCCACCAAAGGGCAATATGGGACTCATCAGAAAATGACACAGGAGTGAGTCACGGGCCCTGAGGGGCAGGGGAAAGGCACTGGCAGGCACTGACCTGGGCGCTGTCTCATTCAAAGGCTGGGGCTTGGCCCAGGACAAGTGTGGACAGGCTGGCAGTGGCCTTGGTTTCGGGTCTCCCAAGTGGGCTTCGAGAACCTTGGAGTAGCGATGAAGATGGTTTCCTGTGGCAGCAGCAAAAGCAACAAAAGAGCAGCCGTCACCCAAGACGCCAGGGAGAAAACAGGCTTTGCGTCTGTGTGCCTGACTGCCGACACGTGTGCAGTCCCCCACATCCCTGCGTGCTTCCAAGGTCATCCCTGATGCCACCAGACAACAGGTGCAGCCCTGGCAGGCCAGCTGTTGCTAGTCACCTTTGAAGAAACCAATATGAAGCCAGCGCCATGGAACCACCTTTTTCTTGCATAATTTTTTGGCCAAGTGAGAGAGAGAGAGAGAGAGAGAGAGAGAGAGAGAGAGAGAGAGAGAGTGTGTGTGTGTGCGCGCGCGCGCGCAGTTTCTGGCCAAAGTGTGTGTGTAATGCATAATAATTCAAAGTGTGTGTGTGTACGTCCGCAGTTTCTGGCCAAAGTGTGTGTGTGTGTCCCGCAGTTTCTGGCCAAAGTGTGTGTGTGTACCCTGCAGTTTCAAAGGTTCTGACATCTCTTGGATGTGGGCCATCTTTTACTATAACTGCTAGCTACATGTGGCTGAGCAACTGGAATGGATGGTGGCATATGTCAAAATGATGCTTTTGATGTATTACACTAAAGTGATTAAAATCACTTTCACTTAAACTTTAGCCATAAAAATTTCTTTGGGGGAAGTGGTGCTGTGGCTCAAGTGGTAGAGCACTAGCCTTGAGCTGAAGAGCTGAGGACAGTATTCAGGCCCAGAGTTCAAGCCCCATGACTGACAAAAAAAAAAAAATGACTTTGGTTTTGTTTGTTCCTTTTTGAGGCGGAATCTTGTTACGTAGCTCTGGTTGACCCTAGCCACTCCAGCCTTCTGAGAGCTAGGATTAGTCAGGTACCACTATGCCTGGCATCTTTAGCTGTATCTCCTTTCTGTGTTGCATAGGCTGGCGGCCACACACTCAGCAGCAGTGTTCTACAGTTCTAGAACACCCATGTGCTCATGGGAAATGAGCATGCCCTTCACACAACTACTGGGTTACACCTATCCCTGCACAGCGCCCAGCCTGGTGTGTTATCTATCGAGTGCTATCCCTGTCCTTGTCCACTGCAGGAGCCTCACCTTGGTGGTAAAGGGGACGACGGATATAGATGACCACAGAGACCACAGTGCCTTCCATCCTGAGCCAGAGAGGACAGTTGCTGCACTCCCCCACCGCCCAGTCAGCCCCCAGCAGCCAGCAAGGAAACATGGGCTGCTCACAGACACACAGGCCCCACTGGCTACAGGACATGACTAATTCCCCAAACAGCAATGTGGGGCTGGCTCTGTCTCCCTGCTGAGGCACCTGGGGGCTGCATACTCACCTTCCATCCTCTCGGGAGGGGCCGAGCCCGCCCCGCTGGGAGGGCGCTGCCGGTTCCCCGAGTGGCTAAGGCTGGGAGGGGTCACCCCATAGGATGTGTACTGTAGAAGGGCATCCAGAAGCCAAAAGCAGTCTGCAAAGGCAACAAGCATGCTCTTAAGGAATGAGTTTGTAAAACCAGCTATCGTCACAGGGAAGCAACAAAAAGCTAGCCCCCAGAACAAGGGGAAAGGGCTTAGGACGTCACAAGTACAGGTCCCCTCTTCCCACGAAGCATGTGCTTTCCACTCAGTCCCCAGCCCGTGTGCTCCACAGCTTCACCCCCAAGGGTCAGTGCAGGTCAGTGCGACTGGGCTGGCTTGGCTATTTGGATGTCACACTCAGCCCTGGACCCTCATGACCAAGGACAGAGCAGGGTTCGTGCAGAGACAGCAAGACCATGTGACATCCATGAGAAAACAATGGCCTGAAGAGTGAGGACTCCCAGACCAGGGGGCAGAGGGCAGGGCTGGACAGCATGACCAGCAACCAGGGGCAGAAAATGTGATTTACACTGTGAGGGGCACAGCCAGGGTGGCGGGTTTGGGGTCCCTCAGCCTGAGTTTCTGGGTCCCAGACACACCGTCAGGCCTTTTCTCAGGCCACCTTGCATCTCCGAGCCATATGATGGCTCCGTCCTCAGGGGGCTGTGATGCCCCATCAACACCACCCGGGCAACCTGACAGGAGAGTGCACTACATGCTCTTCTTGAAGCAGCACTTCAAGGCGTGAAGCCCACAGAAGATGCTAAAAGCCACTGTTTGAAAGGCAGGGATACGACAGTCCTCTTAGGTATTTAAAATTTTAATAAAGCCTCTTACCAGGAGATCTCAGATCTTAAAAGAGCATCTCTGTGGAAACGAGACATTAATCTTCCATCTACTGTGACTCTAACCTCATTTTTTTAATTTCTAAAAACCCAGTCATATTCTAAGGCTTTACATAACACCTGAAACTTAGTCAGCCACAACTTAACATGGGAGCTGGGAGAGGTGCAATGCACCATGCTCAGCTCGAAAAGGAAGCCTGTGAACCCTGGGTGCTAACAGTCCCGTCCCGTCCCGTCCCGTCCCGTCCCTGCCCTGTCCTGCCCTCCAGTGAGCTAGGAGGTCCTGGCTTCCTCTTACCAGTTACGAAGGCAGAGCACCTTGACTACCCTACTTTAAAGTCTGTGTCCCAGCTCAAAAGCCTTTCATCCAGAAGACCCAAGACAAGAAGGGGGCTGAGTCCTCTCTCTTTGCCCCCATCTTTATCTCCTGCTGATCAGAGACAGCCATGAACAAGAGTGGACCAGAGCAGAATAGGGTGCTCCCACATGGTTGCACTTGCAAAGTGCACCCTGCCCAGCAGGAAGCAAAAGCTGGGTCAGCTGAATCCAGGGCTTACACACAGGTCACCCTGGCCCACTGGCTGTGGGCTGGGAAGACAGGAGTGGCATTGAGGCCTGTAAAGGCAGTTTTCTTTTGCCTATTAAACCTATCAACGCTTAGATACTTATCAGAATATTGCAAGCAATTCCAGTCCCTGGAGCTCTCGAGCCTGCTGTCCCCTGGCTCCTATGAGCAGGTGCTGTTCATTCACTAGCCTCTCAAAAACCCTTTCCAGGCACAAAGGAAATGTGGGGTTCCTGTGTCCAAGCCCCTGTGGGAGCTATTGTTGTTCTGGAGTACTGGGGACAGAACCCAGGGGCTTGTGCTTGTGTGTGGCAGGCACGCGTTCACCCCACAGCCCATCCCCTGCTTTATCTCACCCTTCTGTCGGTGACTATCATCCAAGCAATTGGAGTCTCCGTACAGCACAATCCGGCCTCCACCCTCAGACGGAACCTGATAAAGTCCCAAAATGGGGACATTTTCAACAACTGCCGTTTCCTGCTTTAAAACCTCCAATCCTGGAACAACACAACAATGAAACAGAAGAGGTTTTGTTGGGGAATTATTTGTTTTCTAGATTTAATCTACGTGACCAAAAACAAAACCAAACGAAACCCTAATATTCAGTCAAAACAGTGCAAACTTTAAGAACAGGAAAGCAGTATCTCAAGTCTCAATTTCAGTTTTAGTAAAATTCTACCAGTGCTCTCACTACAGTGTTTTAAATATTTCCCTAGTAATAACAAAACCTCTTCATAATTCTATCTGTGGACACTTCCTTGTAGCGGGAGCTACTGGTGGAATTTTACGAAAAGCCACAAGTACAAATGTTCCATAAGGAAAGCATTCCTACCTCTGCCTCCACAGATGACACAGTGTGGAATGTTTAATGAGGAGGTTAAAATGGGATAGATGCATGGGCGGCAGTGTCAGGGGTATCGTGCAGTCTCCTGCTGTAAAGCAACTACTTTCCTCGCACTGAAAATGTGCCCACCCCCTCCCCAGAAGCCAGGGCTTGATGCAGCAACAATATCTAACAGGCCTATGGTAAGTGAGTGCTGCATTTCTGGCCCTCCCTGTATAGTCTCACAAGGAGCCAAGTAGAAGAAAATGCAGTGTTCTCTGGAGGAGGGCAAGGTGGAGCAAGAGAACAGGAGAACTAGGGAAATGTACACCAAGTAGCCATTTGGCCTCCTGGCTTGATGAGTCCAGCATAACCTGGACTGTACCCGATGTCAAACCAAAGCAGTTGAGTTTTATTCTAGACTGTGAATGGTTAAATCTACCTTTGATATACTACCCCTCCCTCCCCCACCCTGCCTAGTCAAAAAGATGAGCTGCCAGAGGGTAGCAAACTAATCCTGTGATATTGTTTTCCACCTTTTCCCTGTACCTAGCACTGGAAGTACATGCCTATGAGAACTGCTTTTGTTAGGAAAATTACCACAGGGAACTGGGCTGAGGGCTTGGCAAAACATGATCGGTGTGTCCTTGTGACAGTTGAAATGTATCTCTAGGTAACAGAATTGTTAATGGACTGGCCTTGCCTTGAAGGGGAAAAAAGATCTGACAGTTAAAATATACCCCTAGGTAACAAGGATTGATCTGTCTCGAGGAAAGAAGAAAACCCTCCCAGGCAATATGAATTAAATTCTGTCTTGCAGCCATAAGCAGGTTATCTGAGAAATCTTAACTTCATGTCTTCAGTGAATAAAACAGTCCCTAATTCTCAATTCCAGAGAATGGTCTCTTTACAGTGGTGGAGGGTAGGCATGCTGAAGACTCACTACCTGCACATGTGATGTGTGGGAAGAACATCCCCAGGTCCTCTTGCTGCCCTATGCTCCATGCCGGGCTTTCCAAGGCTTACCCCTGCCCCTCCCCACTCACCAGGCAGGCTCTGCACACAAAGCACTCGGTGATGTCATGGATACTGAGCTGGGGACTGACCTGCCTTCCTGGCAATGTCTGCCTGTAGCTGAAGCAGAATGCTAAAAGATGGTCAAATTTTTTCTAAAGTGATCTGGAAATTACCAAAGCAGAACCACCCATAGACAGAAACAACAAATATTTGAGCTTCCCTCTTGAAGGAATTCTGTTTCTTTTACAATGGCCCCTATATACATATATTCAAATTACCAGCAAGAGCCAGGCTTACATTAAGTAGTATAGAAATACTACTGCAAGAAGTTTTAAAATGAATCAACAACAACAACAAATCCAGGCACTCGTGTCTAATGTCCATAATCCTAGCTTCTGGAGAAGTTGAGGAAGGAAGATAGCAGTTTGAGGCCAACCTGGGCAAAAAAGCTTGTGAGACTGCTTCTCACCCCACAGCTGTGAGCGATGGTGCGTGTCCATCATCCCAAGGCACATGGAAGGGTGACTGGGATGCCAGCCCAGCCCCGGCAGAAAAATCTGTAAGCAAGCCTGTTTCTATGGAAGGTAAGCTGACAGCATGCATGTCTGTCATTCCAAAAGACAAAGGGAAGCCCATTGTAGGCTTAGTCATGCAGCCTAACCTAAAAGTAACCAGTAAAAAACAGGACTGGAGGCATACATACAACAGCTCAGCAGTACCAAGCCAGCTGAGTTCAAATGTCTAGTACTGCCTATGAAAAGAAAGGCAAAGAAGGGCTGGGCTGTATGTAGCTCAGTGGCAAAGCGTTTGCCTAGCCAGTGCAATGTCCTGGGTTCGATCCCCAGTACCAAAAAAGACAAAAAAAAAGGGCGAGGAGATCACACTGTAACGGAACTTTCGGGGTTGATGTAAATGTTCTCAAAAGCAGACTGTGGGAGTGATATGCAAGAAAGCCATTGAAAGAAAGAGGGAGGGAGGGAGGAGGAAGAAGAGAGGAGAGGGTGGGAGATAAAAGGGGAGAGGAGGAGGGAGGGAGAAGGTGGAAAAAGAGGGAAGCAAAAAACCTGGGAACAGCATTCTTTACCTTGGTCCTTAAAAGTCTGTGTTATGACAATGCCATCTTCTGGAAACTTAGCGATACTGCACCCAGATGCATAGTACACTAGAAAACAATTGTTCAGAGTCACAGGTGCACAGAAACCCCAAGCACTCCACCAACAGCTACTCATTTACCCAAGGTACATTCTTCACTAGTGCATTCTTCTCTCCCATGTGGATCTATTTGTAAGACTGTCTGTAATCTTGAGAATATACTGTTTCCTTGTCGCACTGAAATTAAGTGATCACCTCAAAATTCAAGTAAGAAACAGATTAATATACAGTGCCTGAACACAGGCAAGTCAGAGAAGCCAGAGACACAGGGCAAGCTCAGTCAGGGCTCGAAGAGCCCGTCAATAATAATTATCATTATATGGGCCACAAAATCACAGCTAGAAATTTATGTGGGAGCAAATATTATTTTATAAGTAATCAGAACCTATGAGGCATTTCCTATTTGAGAATGAGTAGTGCATGAAGACTCTTAAAGGCAGCCCAGAAATTAAGGACAATTGCATTCAATATTTTCAGTTTGTTTCCTGATGCTGGGGATAGACTCCAGGGCCTTGCACATTTTGGGTAAACACTCTTCCCTCTGAGATACATGTCTAGCCCCAGAGGCAGTTCTGAAAGCACTGACTGACTACTCCTTTCCAAACGCTAGAGTGCTTAGGAATCCCATTACCCTGGCTCTGAGACCTCCCTTTACTCACCCCTCCCCCTTGCTCATAGTACATAGCTCATGCCTAGGCTCACACAGACATAAGCCTTACTGTCATGGCTGGCCAGGGTGAACTCCCCTTCGTATAGGCCATCACTGAATGCCATGTTCCATACAGACAGCAGCTCATTCAGAGCTGGGATGTTGGCACCTCCTGTATCTGGCATCCACCACTGTCTGAAAGAAATGGCAACAGCAGAGAGGACAAGAAGTAAAAACCTACACATTTCATGTATCCCTGACAAAACTACACATCTCAGGTAACAATCCCATCCACACCCACGTGTCAATGGGAACCAGTTGCTTGGTTTGAGAAAAACTTCAAACAACTGGCACCCATGTGCAGCATATGGCAAGGCTTTATTTTATGGCATTAGAATCAGCACTTCACTGAAATGCACTAACTGCTCAGCCACAATCAGAGAAGCAAGGGAAAAGACACACGAAACTTACACAGTCAAGTCACGAAACTACACAGAAAAAAAAAATCCAAATTTATTACAAATAATGTATTTGCTAGTCTAGAGATCCTTGATCAGCAGCTAATTAACTAGAAAGTCTCCAAAGTTTTTTAGGTACATTTTGAATTTGCCTATCTTACTATTAAAAGATACAGAATGGAACAGGACTAAACACAAACTTAAAGCTTGAGTACCTAAGATCAACAAGGAAAGAGACCACCTCTAAACTGTGTGTCAGGTCACCGAGCATCTTTCCTTACAGGCTTTTCCACTCCTGTTCTCTGGTACCCAGCAAGTCACAAAGGCACGTGCCACCTTAGCTGCCCCAGTACCTCGTGTTTTCATCATAGAACTTCACTTTTCTCATGACGGAAGTGTTATACCAGTCACTGAAGACCACGAGCGAGAGGCCATTGTCTACGTCCCTCCTCAGCTTGGTGATCTCCTCAGGGAAGTACTCCTCCTCACTGTCCACCATCAGCAAAGTCCCTAGGGACAAAGGGTCAAGGCTGAGGACAGCCACTTCTGATAGCAGGTGCCACTGTTTTAGAAACAGTGACAGTACTGACTTTTGATGTTGTTGTTGCTGCTCATGGAGCTCAAACTCAGGACCTGGATACTGTCCCTGAGCTCTTTTTCCTCAAGGATAGCCCTCTACCACTTGGAGCCATAGCACCACTTCTGATTCTCTGGTGGTTAACTGGAGACAAAGATTTCACAGGCTTTCTTGACCAAGTTGGCTTGGAACCGTGCTCCTCAGATCTCAGTCTCATGAGTAGTTAGAATTACAGGCGTGAGCCACCAGCACCGGGCTGGTACTGACTACTAATGGTTTGGTTTGGGCTACCCTGGAGTGAATGCCACAGGAGGAGGCAAGGAGTAAGAGAGCAGGCATTGCTAACTAGTGCTGGCTGCTCGAAGGAGTCAGATACAATTAAAACTAAAAACAAAAACTGCAGACATCTCTGTCCCCCCCATATCTAACAACCCTGTGTGTAGTTGGGCATCGTGGCCATCATCACCAAGGATGTGTGCACATCATCAGAGCCTCCCTCCCAGCCTCCACTCGATGGGAGCCCCTGCCCAGGTTCCTTCAATGGTTCACTTTCAGACATTTAACATGTGTCCAATGTGCGGCTCACCATACTGAGTGGCGTCAAAGCATGTGAAGGGAGCGCCAAGAACCTCCACAAAGTAGCCCATGCTTCTCACATGCTGGTACATATCCCTGAAGTTTGTGTGGATGTGATCCCCATTCCTGAAAAGCAAGAGCCACAGGGATAAAGGCCTGTCCTGTTATGGGATTGCCTCAGAAGTGCAGCTGTCTCTGAAGGAGCAGTGCCAGCCTGGGCAGAGGCAGCATAGGGTGCACAGAAACAGCACTTCGGCTGTGGCAGAAAGCAAACAGCCGGCAGCCACTGCATCTGGCAATGAGCTTAGGGCATGGCCACAGGGAGGCAAGGAGGCTGGTCCACAGCCTGGAGGGCAAGCGCCATGTCTTCTATCAGGGACAGCCTGAGTGAGACTGACTGACAGCACGGCCTACTGGATGTGGCTTCTCCAGCCCTCTCTGCCCACAGTTCTAGGCAAAACCAAGGGCCAGGCAAGTCAACGCTCCCCAGCCTCCCTCTAGAACCTGTTTCCACAGTAGCACAAGTGTGCTGGCTTCCCTGTAGGGCACAGCCCTGCATGCTGCCCTCATATCCCCACATCCCTCTGCTCCTGTAACCCAATCTTCCAGTGCCTCCCGCTCCCTCTGATCCTGTACCCTAGTCCAATCTTCCAGCCTCCCATCCACCTATTTTAAACATGGACCTAAATACCTAACCTAAAGCAGAAACGTCTGGCTTTTGGGCAAAGAACAATGTATCTCAGATGGCCTATAAGGGACAGCAAATAGGCAGGGGTGTGTGAGGGGCCACAGAGGGAAGCAGCTCAGTCTCTGCCAGATAAATGAGTCAGAAGAGGCATCAGGAGAGCTTGTTTTCATGTGACACTTGGGAAATGATCACGAGAACAGAGTGACACGGGGAGGCAACATGGCATCCAGGTGCGGGATGCTGACGACAGACTCAGGTGGGGGCAAAGGATGGAACACACAGCAGGACAGGGCCAGCTAAAGGTGACACTGACTGCATTTACTGGCTAACTGAATGAAGGAGGTGAGGGGAAATGATAACAAGGATTTTACAGCACAAATTAATTGCCAGTCCTGGGCACTGTCCCTGAGCTTTTTTGTTCAAAGCTAATGCTCCACCACTTGAGCCAAGCATTTCTGGCTTTTTGATGGTTGATTGGAGAGAAGAGCCTCAGATTTTCCTGCCTGAGCTAGCTACAAACTGTGATCCTCAGATCTCAGCCTCCTGAGTAGCCAGGATTACAGATCTGAGCCATCAGTACCCAGCTGCAGCAGAATTCCTCCAAATTTATTTGTGAATATTTAGAAGAGAAGTCGAGATGGCCTCAGAGCATGGCAGAATTGCCAACAGGGCACCATGAGGACAGGGGTTTGGAGCGCATCAGTGCAAGGCAGATGCTTACCAGTCCAGGGGATCGTTTTTCATCCGTAAGTTGTCCCTGGGGAAATAGCCTGGTGGGTAGCGGAGGTTGTGGTACTGATCCCAGAGGACCCGCTTACTCCGAGGAGGGGTGGGAATTATTTTCACCTTAATTGGGAGCTTCACTGTTGAAGTCTGTTCAGCACCATTTTTCGCCTTGAAAAAGAAAACAAAAATCCCTGGAAATTTGGAATGTCCTTTTCCAGGAAAAACTCAGGTTTTTCAAGTTTAAAAATATCTCTTTTCTCTTATGTTTTCTTGAAACAGGATCTCACTATGTAGCCCAGGCTGGTCTTGAATTCTCAATACTTCTGCCTCAGCCTCCCAAGTGCTGGGATTACAGGCATGCACTACCCAGTCTAGCTTAAAAAGGTCATTTCTAAAGCCAGGCACTGGTGGCTCATGCCTGTAATCCTAGCTACTCAGGAGGCTGAGATCTGAGGATCATGGTTCAAAGCCAGGCCGGGCAAGGAAAGTCCGTGAGACAATTATCTCCAATAAACTACTAGAAAACCAGAAGTGGCACTGTGGCTCAAGTGATAGAGTGCTTGCCTTGAGCTGAAGAGCTGAGGGACAGCGTCCAAGCCCAGAGTTCAAGCCCCACGATCAACCGAAAAAAAAAGGTCATTTCTACTTACTAGTTGAACCCACATTAAACACCAGGTAACAACAAACGTTCAGGTATCACAACTAATTCCATTCAAACTCAAGAGTTGAAGACTTAAAACTCAAAGCACTTTGTAAAAGAGCCGTAGAGGCACAGAGGACGACTCTGTATTTCCTTTCAGGGAGGCCTGCTTCTGATGTGCCCAGGCAGGTCCTTGGTGCTGTGGGGCCAACAACAAAGCCAGCAGCCTGTTCTCTGTGAGGCTGGCCATCGACGCAGCCACTCTGGAGGCAGTGCATGATGGTCCAGGGCCATCCTGCTGCCACCTGTCGTTCACACCCAGCCCTCAGCACCTTCCTCTCCTTCCTGGCTAGGGATGGTAAAAGGTCAAGAAAAACAGGCCCCTGCCTGACATGGCCTTACTTCTGCCTCTGCTGGGGAGGCCACCGTGATCATGACATGGCCTTGGGCAATGCCTTCCCACGAAGCTGCCTTCTTGGTCACAGAAATGGAGACGGCCAGGTAGCCGGACCAAGGCCACAATACCGAGGAGGAGGAGAAAGCGACTTCAATGTTGTCTCCATTCTGTGGTAAGTAGGGCTGCCAGTCAGGCTGCAGGAAAACAGAAGCCAAGCCAAGGTGGAAATGAAATGCATGCAGAAAACAGAAAGGCCTCATATCCTTCATTACCTACACTGGTTACTGGAAATATTTCAGTAAGTTGGCAACTTGATACATGAATACCTATAAGCCCGGGGGCTGTCTGAAAGATACCAGATAAGCCTGGAAAATACAGCCTCAAATAATCTTCCCGCATTACATAAAAAAGGGTGATACATGCACAGAAGCTGTTTGATAAGGAACTTTTACCTAAGTAGAAAGCTTATGTAAATCAAAACACTCAGATTTGAGGTTAGATTGTGAGTTTTATGCTGACAGATTCCAAGAACTAAAAAATTAAAATGGCATGGATTCGAATCCTTGCCTACCACACGATTTAAAAGTATGCATTTCAGATTAGGTATGGTAAGTCCTATTTTTTTTAAACAGTGGCAGTGTTAGAGGTGTGGGGCTATAAAGAATGTTCTAGCTTTTTTCCCAGTCCCTTATTGTTCTGATGTTTACTTAGCAAGTAAGCAGTCAACAAACTACAAAGAACCCTCCAAACCCAAAGGCCAAGGAGCAAAGTAATGACAGCTAGGCCTGCATCACAGCCACCACGATGCAGACGGAGAAGTGATGGGGCCTAGCTGTCAGAAGCCACACTCGAGACACTGAAGCAAGAAAGTAAACAATGTCCTCATCTTTTGGTGTAGGACTGGCTATGAGAAACCCATGTCCCCTATACAAGAGAAGGGCAACTTTCCTTTCCACACTTCAGGACAGATAACTAAGGCAAAAATGTCTAGGCCATGCTAAGTCACCGTCCAGTCAGAGAAGCATCACCTTATCCACAATTCTCCCAGTGACACCCATGCCATTGAGGATGGTGACATTAACGATTGTTGGCATTCCTCCATAGTAGATGGGCTGTGAGCAGTAGGGCCACATGTAGGGACACTCAGTCAGGTCGATGTAGCTGGGGCTCAAGCTGGAAAAAGGAAGAGTATGTCAGAAACACAGGTCTCTTAGTGACCGAGGAGCAGGAAACAGTGAACCATGGTCTGGCTTGCGGGGCTGGTGTGGTGAGGAGCTTGCTATGGGGCGCTCCTGGGTTCAGAAGGCTGCTAAGCAGTTGGTGGGAGCACCTGCCTCTGGAGGCTGGAATTGTGGAGCTGCTCTGGCTAACAGAGAACGAGTGTGTGGCCAGCCCCAATGGAAACCTAGACCTGAGCCCCAGGAGGGTGTCCCTGCCTCAGAGCGGCCAGGAAGAAGGAGTTAGGAAGCTAAGCCAGGAGTTCTCGAGACTGTGCAACTGAGTTGTCCTCTTTCCCCACAGGTCCCCCTAAACTCTCACTGTGTGGTGAAACTCACAACCATACACTCAGCTGAGTCCGTGAGTGCTAGCAGAGCACAACCCACAGGGACATGGACAGAACTGGTGTGAGGGCTGGAGGAGTGATCAACACTTGTTTCAGTTTCCTTTATCTCAAATGAATCCTGCTGGGCCAGCTCCATTCCTAGCTCAGCACGAGGGGCATCTAACAAATGGGTCTGGCCATGTGACAACAGAGAAACTCAGATCCACAACTAAATATGGCCCATAAATCTAAAATCACTTCAAAACAGGCCAAAAAACAAAAAAAGCCCCCCTCAGACCCATCAAGAGAAAAGACCTGACAAAACAAGTGCCTGTCAGTCTCTAAGAAAGCCAGTTATGTGATAACAAAGGCTAGATGAGCTATCCAGGATAGGAGGAAATCATGCCCCACAAATGCAGTGAGTGTCCAGATCCTGGACAAAGAACACGAGGGGAACGTGAAGGGCAGCGTCGTGGACTCCTTGTAAGACAGGCCTAGTGGTGGCACCTTACTTTTAACCTGTATTAAACGATATCAGCTAAGGTAGTGTCAGCAAGGAAAGCTGGAAACAAGTTCTTGAGGATTCTTTCTTGCAAAATTTCTGTAAATCTATGTTAAAAGTTTAAATATGCCAACAGGGAGTTGCCATTTTCTTTAACTACTTACACTGAAGGTAACAGAACTTAGGTGACTCAGTGGGTTGAGTTCTGCCGTCAGCACGTTAATAAAAGCCGCACCATAACCCAGAACTGAGCACCCAAATGCGAGGCTAAGTGTCCTTGAGGCTCTTATGTGCAGAGGGAAACCTCCAAGGGACCAGTGAAGGAGAAAGGCCCACTGAGACCAGCACACCCACCTTGCCTGTGGCTTGTAGCTGTTGAGGATCTGATAGGCTCTAAGGAGATCCAGTTTGCCATGGCCTTGCTCAAACATGTTGGCTCCAGGAAGCCTCCGGGCTGATGCGATCAGGGCCTGCTTCATACTGGCAGGATTCACCAGCTCACGTTTCTGGACTGTGCTGCGGGAGAGTAAAAATTTGCTCATTTCCTCTCAGTGAAAGAATGAAAACTGGACTGTCTCTAACTGCAAAAGTGCAACTGTATGGCCCCCCAGTCTTGTTTCAGTTCTAACAGGGGTTTCTTGGGTGAAGCCGAGCAAAGTGACTGGCTGCTGCACCTGCCTCAGGATGAGCTGCTCAGTAAGTGACCTTCCAGATGGTTTTCTGAACAGTGATTTTATCCAGCCTGTTTGTTTATGCAAAATTAACTTTCCCAATAATGATGAAATCTATCACATAGGATGCAAGAGGTAAGAATACTAAAAAAAGGTATGATCCCCATGGGAGGGGTGAATACAATCTGGGACATCAGCTGGCTGGGGAAGAAAATGAGCATAAGCGGATGCTGGAGAGGGACTCAATGCAGGATGGGACAGAGGTGTGGGCTGGAGACCAAACCTTTGTCTTTTTGTTCCCGCATCTGGAGGATGAGTCACCCAGGTGGATGAGGCCTGGATGTGTGGACCTCGGACGCTTTCAGCATTTCACTGTCAGAATGCATCTTGGAAAACTAATACCCAGCTCTACCTAGCCAGGAACTTAGGTAGCTCTATCATTAAAACATTCATTGTGGGTCTGTAACATTCATTTTTGGAGTCCTCATTTCCGGCATGAGTAGCAGGAAATATTTGTCCCTATTTTAACTTTGTTTTACTAAAATAACTCCTTGCTATCACTAAAAACAAATCCATTTTGGTCTACCTATAGATTTTATACAAGTAAATTTTAATCTCCAAGTTGGGAGGAAAAATCAATAGGCACAAAGCCTTGGAATATTTCTGCATGACAGTTTGGTCTCAGGGGTAGGCAAGTTTTCTAAATGGAAAATCTGACAGAAGGAGATAGAGAACGATTAATTCTTAATGACAGAATAAAATAACTGCTAGAAGCTATAGGTCAATAGCCCTCCTCCACTTCCTACCTATAAAGCAAAGGGAAAGGTCAGGCTCCACTTCCCTGTGGCTCAGCATCTATCACGAGCTATTGTCAAGCTACAAGGTATTCCTAACATCACAATAGGTGTTTTTATCTCCAGCAGGAGATGAAAGCAAACGCTTTCCTTGATGCTGAAGCTGTCTGCAGTCACAGCTGTCACTGGGAATGGCGAGTTCCCCATCTTCTCATCCCCCCTCACTGGGCAGCACAGAGGTGACAGCTCCACTGAAGCTGGAACCCTCACTTCCTGCTAACAATCACAGCAGGTGGGCGAAGTGGACCGTGTTTTGTTACCAGAATGCACACACTAGAAACAAGAGCCCTGGCTGAATCTCTGGCACTTGGCAAGAACAAAAGCATGAGTAAGCTATACACCGGGCCTCCCTCCCCAACACATCTCAATGTGTGCCTGGGGGAGAGAGCCACACTAATGGGAGAGATGAGTTTCTAGCAGCAAAGGCAACTCAGAGGCCACTGCAGCACTTTCTATAACCTACCTCTGACCTGTAGGAGTGGACAGATACTTGACCCAAGTACTAGTAAACAAAATAACCTCTGCCATCAGAAGCTAAAATAAACATGCAACTCACTTACTTAAAAAAAAAAAAATTGAGGATGGGAATGTAGCTCAGTGGTAGAGTGCTTGCCTAGCATGCATGAAGCCTCAGGTCGATTTCTTAGTACCACATACACAGAAAAAGCTGGAAGTGGTGTTGTGGCTCAAGTGGTAGAGCGCTAGCCTTGAGCAAAAGAAGCTCAAGGACAGTGCCCAGGTGCCGAGTTCAAGCACCAGGACTGGCAAAAAATACAAACAAACAAGAAACTACAACAAAAACATATTCACTATCATTTGCCTAGTTTAACTGTTAAATTAGCACAGAAAAGATTTCACATGCACTGTTTTATCACAACAGTGTCCAAATGTGGACCTCAGCTAAACAGAAGTCAATTTACTGAGGGAAAGAGGGGTGAATGCAAGCTCCAAAGGCTGGTGTTTAGCACAGTGAGGGTGAGCCCACGAGGTTCACCTGACCACAGGCAGGGCAAGCAAGCTTCCACCCCACCTCCCATGTCTGAGAGCTCCCTACCAGGCACACTATCTGCAGAGGCGGGCCTGTGCCTCAGCTCTGCTCTGCCGTAGATGAGATTTAACAGGGAAGAACCCAGCCTGCTCAGCCCCTCACAGTCCAGCCTGAGCTGCCACAAAAGCAAACAAGGACCAGCTGGACGCCGCTGGCTCAACGCCTGTCATCCCAGCTATCCAAGAGGCTGAGATCTGAGGATCACAGTTAAAAGCCACCCTGGGCAGAAATGTCCATGAGACTCTTATCTTCAATGAACCACCAGAAAACCGGAAGTGGCACTGTGGTTCAAGTGGTAGAGTGCTAGTCTTGAGCTGAAGAGCACCCAGGCCCAGAGTTCAAGCCCCACAACGGACCAAAAAACAAAAAAAGCAAACAAGGGTCACTGAGAAGATGGGACATGCTCGCCTGCTTCACAACACTGCTATCTCTCTGTACCCACAACATCAGAGTGGGTACATCAAAGCTGATGACTCCTAACAGAAACAGGACATGGAAAAGATGCAGCGTCTTCCCTGACCAATACATGGCACTCAGGTGAAGAGAAAATGCACAGGTCTAGCACACAATGTATTTAAAACCGCAGTCAATAGCTATTCTCCACACACAACGCTCTCTGGTTTCCTCCAGATTACAAGGTGCGTTGGCACACATCACCTAACCCTAACAGCGGGGACCCCGCCTCTCCTGCAGAGATAGCACCAGTCTGCATGCCTTGAGCCCCAAACCCACTGTCTGCCCCACTGTTGCCCCTTTGCCCCAAGGCCAGATAGAGCTGACACTCTGTGCTGCACATGCTTACCTCACTAACAGGGTGACAGCGCCAGCGACCACTGGAGAGGCGACACTGGTCCCTGAGAGGGCCCGGCACCCCCCTTTCACACCAGAACCTCGCACTCCAGCACCATAGGTGACAATGTCAGGCTTCACACGACCATAGCCTCCTGGTAGTTCCTAGAAATAAGAACAGCTTGGTTTCCCCCGGGACCCAGGCACATAGCCACGTGGGGACAGGAGTGACTAGATCAGGACAGAAACACAGGACTTCACACACTGAAACCTGAGGCAGCTACAGGCTCGAATCTGAAATTCCCTGTAAACCAGAAACAAGCTTCAGTGCTAGTGTGGATTCAGAATCATTTTTAGTATGTTTTACAATACCCAGTAAAAGAAGACAGCCAGAAAACAGATTATTATTATTATTGTCTGTCGTGGGGCCTGAACTCTGGGCCTGGACACTGTCCCTCAGCTCTTCAGCTCAAGGCTAGCGCTCTACCACTTGAGCTACAGCGCCACTTCCGGTTTTCTGGTGGTTTATTGGAGATAAGAGTTTCATGGACTTTCCTGCCCAGGCTGGCTTTGAACCGTGACCCTCAGATCTAAGCCTCCTTAGTAGCTAGGATTATAGGCGTGAGCCACTGGTGCCCGGCAACAAATTATTTTTTAAGTGCTAGTATTTTAGCTAGTTGCTAAAACCAGACACTAGTCAGTCTGAATAGAATTGAGAAACTGCTCTCTCTAGATAAGTTTTAAATGTTAGAAAAATCAGAAAACTAAAAATTAGAAAAAAATGTAGCATATTTCTGTGTGTGTGTGTGTGTGTGTGTGTGTGTGTGTGTGTGTGTGCATGCACGTGGTCTGTTTCAAAGGGAAGAAGAAGCCAATGTAGGATGACCACATTAAATCTGCAGTCAGTTTAAGCACTTCTTAAGTCTCCTGCAATTTGGAGCAAAGTGAGAAGTACAACAGAAGCTGATGTTCCTTTCATCCTCCCCCCTTCCTTCTTTTTTCTTTTTGAGATACATTCTTATTATATAGCCTAGCTGGCCTTGAACTTGTTACCACCACACTTGGCCAGGATCTTAAATTCTGTTGAGAAAAAGCATACCAATGTCTCACAAAAGGAATGTAGGAGGATCTGTGGGCACCAAGGAAGATGTGTCAGCCCAAGCACTCTCTGTAGGTAACTAAAGAATACTGCTCAGACTGCCACTGAAAAACAAGTCCCCGATGAGGGCCAAGGGTGTGACATCCCGTCACAGATCAATGAAGACGCCTACACAAGAGCCCGAGACTTGCACTGGCAGAGGCCAGGTCCCCTCTGACCGAGGAGTACAGATAAGGACACGTAGCACAGCACAGGGTGTGGTCCTTGTGCTGAGTGGGGTCTCTGGCGTGCAGGCAGTGCCAACTCCAGCAGGTGGCATCCGGTGAACGCATCAGGAAGGGAGCCCTGGCAGCTGACAGAAGGGGCGCCCAGGAGCGCACCATGTCTTGCACTAAGGCTGCCATAGAAGACTATCCTATGGAGTTCTGCAGATGTGAATGAGCCCCAAGTGTGAATCTGGGGCCTTACTTGGGACCTCGAGTTGGAGGTCCTATGCAAAGTTTGAGCACCAAGAGATGACCTGACACCAAAGAATGCCAGGGCAGGTGTCCCCCAGCCACCTCAAGGGTAAAAGTACTTGAGTGTCACTCTGAGGGAGCTCCAAATTCTGAATCAAATTTCTTATTGCTGGGCAAGGGAGGGTGAACTCACTGTGAACCCACTGGGTTATAAACTTGCTGGGAGTCATTCTGATTTTGTGAAACTAAATACTATTATTTCCATGTTAGCAGATTTCATATCAAGCTTTCTTACTGGATTTACTTTGAAAGGTGAAAAGCAAATCATCTCGGTTGCACTGAGGAGCCCTGAGGGTGAGTGAGCAGAGTCAGCTCACCTACGAGCAAGTTTTACTCAGAAACAAGCCAAGAGGAGGAGGAATTGGGAAATGGCCCTCAGAACCTTTCACACCTCACAGTGGCTCTGGATGCTAGACTGACAGCACACACCAAAGGAGCTGGAAGTTCTGACTTCCTGAAGAGCACACGCCCGCAGCCCTGGCTGCTTATCTATTGTGTGCTAAGAAGTCCATCTCAAGGCTCAGACCCAGGCTCTGGGGGCCAACGTTAGACTAGTACAGGAAAGCATACCCAAGTAGTCATTCCCCTGGAAGAAAAGCGGGCGATGTTATCTTCAAAGTCAATGCCACCCACTCCAATCACATCCATCTGATCAGCAGGATTATTCAGAGTGCTAAATTGGGACACACAAAAAAAAGGGGGGAGAGAAATAATTTACAATGAATCATTCAAACAAGGAAAAACACTGCCAGAAAAATCTAAAGCTTCCTTAGGTTCTTCTGTGACAAGACCTGTGCAGCTCTGACAGGCTGCTACCCTCCTCGGTCTTGTGAGATGCCATTGCCCTGGTCAACTCCACACTGTTTAACTACCTCTCACCTGCAGTGCTCTTCCTCTTCTCCCTCTTCTCCCTGTCGCCTTACCACACAGGCAAGTTTCCTCTTTGACTCCAGGCTCCCTAACTTGCTCCCTACTCTGAACCTCCACGTGTGAACATGTCACAAATCCACCACCTAACTACAGATCCTCACATCACTTGTGAGTTGTTCCAAGGGTACTCATTCTGCTTCCTCCACCAGATTAGCCCCAACAACATCACCGCAGAGGATGAAGCTTCAACTGACCTTTAGCAGTGCACCTCACTTCCTCAGACAATGTGGATACAACTATTACCCTGCCATCTTCTGCCCTTAGAGAGAGCCCTCAGAGAATGGCCAGGAAAAAACAAAAACAAAAAAACCCAAAGCTGTTCTCTCCTGTACCTCAAGGGTACTAGATGTGCAAAGAAGCTACTGTGACATTAGTAATGACAAAAACATACAAATTCTAAAATCAACATGAAGTGCTTCTGAAATAACCAGTTATGTGCTTAGACATGCACACGTCTAAACTCCATTATCAAAAGGAAAAACTCTTTGACAATTCAACAACTGTAACAGATTCCAAGTGACTGAAAAGATAACAGCAAGACTGCAGTGTGTTCAAACTATGCCCACTCAACAATGACACTGACATCTGAGCTCAGTGGGGACAACATGCCACGGGGAAGGGAGACCATTCAGAGGAAGCAGGCTTAATGCTGGGTGTCTACACAGGCCTATGATTCTAAGGAACATAGGCTAACTGAAGTCACTAGTAGAACCTCTCACTGAAGCCATCAAAAGAACACTGCCTTCCCACCCTCCCACCCATCCACTCTTGACCTGTCAATACCTAACACACTCAAGAGTGTTAAAAAGGGAAACTATTGAGAGGACTGAGCCAGAAAATGAAGATATCACTGCTGGTACTGAAAAGGGGAGAGCCACGACTGCAGACTCAGGTTAGGGTACAGGGCCCCAGAGAAAGATCCTGGCAAGGGGCCTGGCTTGGGATGGGCACACGCCTCACTTTCAGCCAGCATACTTCCGTCCTCTACTCTCCCAATGCCCGAGCTGTCAGCCTGCACCTGTCTCCAGCTGGGTGACAGGGATGGGCACATGGCACTTATCATCACTGTAAGAGGCAATGCAGATATCCAGGTCCATGTGTGCACCACAAGAACAAAATATGCGGAGACAAGGCCTTCCTCTCCAAGTTTTCCCAACGATACAACTTAAATTCACTACTCTGATTAAAAATGGTCAAAGACAACTTCCCACAAAAGCCATGGGGTTTCAGGAGGGCAACTGTGTGGCAAGGTAGTAAGAACAGCATGGAAAAGAGCAGACAGGTGTGAACAGGAAGACTAGCAGCAGGGTCGGAGAGAGGGAATATGAAATAAACACAGCTTCTACTACAGACACAGGAGGACCAGACCTGAGGTAAAGGTGCCAGCTGTAAATAAAGGTTGAGCCAACAGGTTCTGACTAGAGTTGGCAAAAAGTGGCTGTGGGCCCAAGCAAGTGCCACCTGTTTTCGTAAGTATGGTTTTACTGGAATACAGCCATGCCCATCAACTTCCACATAACTCATTGCTGCTTGCATGCCACAAGGCCAAAGCCAAGTAGCAGAGACTATCTGGCCACAAAGCTGGAAATGTTTGCTCTCTGACCCCTAACAGAAAAAGTTTGCCAATTCCAGCCTAGAATTTCAAAGCCCTTGGAATATGTGGATTTTATCTACTACTCAATACGATCTAGTGCAAACTACTGAGTAAAAAACTGCTAGGGAACTATCTGAACAGAAAAATAGACAAAGGAAGGCAACATCTGTGTGGTGCTCTTCCTACAGCCTAGCTCCACCACTGTAACTGCTATGTGAGCAGTCCTGTGTCACACCTGTCATTCCCTATGCCCTCACTCAGTGACAGGCAATGACCTAGGGCTCAGAAAAGGGAAGGCTCTCAGCGTGGGGGCAGGTCAGCTCAAACCCTGGACCCATTGATCCATACCAGAAGAGCTGGAGTGAAAAAGACGAAATGAAGGAAGAAGAGCTAGGAAACTGACAAGGTAGCAAGTGGGAATTAAGCAGAGATGTCAGAAATAGAAAGCAGGGGACCAGGAGGAACACATGCAAGGAAAATGAGAAAACCTCACAGGACTGCCCAGCAACCAGGGCTTTTGGGAGGAGAGGTATGGGAAGGGCAGTCCACCCACTGACAATTATATCTCACAACACACATTGCTATGCCACAGCCAATCCAGAACCTTGGACCTCTTGCAAGGGGAGAGTCATCTTCTAAGCTAAGCTATTCATTATTTATGTCTGCTCACCTACATAAACACCAACTTCACACAGCTTAGCCCCATACAATGTGGTGGGTGCTGTGCATTAGCTCCCTTTATCCTCCAGACAACCTGCCTTCCCTCAGCAGGTGCCTCAGCCCAGGCTGTCTAGCTGGCTTTGGTGCATGTCCACACCAGAAGCATGTGCACACAGGGAGAACAGACATTCAGTCTCTCCCCCACTGTACACAGCACATGGAACATACGTCCAGCATTTCCTCTCTGCCTCGGTTAACTCAAACAATTCTCCCAAGTCAATAACACAGGATGCTAAACACAAGAAATTACCTACACACATTAAACACGGAATAAAAATCAGAGGTGCAGGTAGAAAGAAAATTGAGATCTAAAGCCATACAGAGAGGCTAGTGGGCTGTGTTTCTTGCCACTTGGCTCCTGCTGCTGTCCTACCTGAGGTCTCTCACAAGCCGCTAAAACAGCAGGAAGCATTTTCTTACTCCTGGAGCTTCATGGTGTATACCCCATCTTTCCAGAAAGGCAGGCATGCCTCTACTTCTCCTTGAACCCCCTGTGCTTTATATATAGTTATATTCTCAATACATACTCAGAACCCATTCCTTCCTAACAGTCATTTTCCTGACCTGTTTCAGGGAAGGTAGAAAGAATATTAAGAAATTTAGCACTGTAGGGGAGGGCGGGAGGATGGGAAGGGGAAACAAAGGAAGAGATTACAATGCTTGATAAGAAATGTACTCATTGGGGCTGGGAAGTGGCTCAGTGGTAGAGTGCTTGCCTTGCATGCCTGAGGCCCTGGGTTCAATTCCTCAGCACCACATAAGCAAAAAGAAAAAAAACGGAAGTGGCGCTGTGGCTCAAGTGGTACAGCACTAGCCTTGAGCTGAAGAGCTGAGGGGCAGCGCCCAGGCCCAGAGTTCAGGCCCCACGACCGGACCCCCCCAAAAAAAGAAAGAAAAATAGAAATGTACTCATTATCTTGCCCATGTAATTTTAACCCCTCTGTACAGTATTTTCACAATTAAAAAAAAAAAGAAATTTAGCACTATAACCGCTCTGGTACATCAACTTTGTAATAACTATTTTTAAAAAAGAAATAAATGAATTTGGGCCTTTAAATGGCTATTTGTAACAATTAAAAAAATAAAAAAAGGGAGCTGGGAAGGTGGCTCAGTGGTAGAGCGCTCGCCTAGCATGCTTGAGTCCCTGGGTTCTATTCCACATAAGCAGAAGAAGAAAAAAAGCCGGAAGTGGCGCTGTGGCTCAAGTGGTAGAGTGCTATAGCGCCTTGAGTTGAAGAGCTGAGGGAAGCGCCCAGGCCCAGAGTTCAGGCCCCACAACTGGACCCCCCCCCAAAAAAAAAAAAGAAAAGAAACAGAAGAATGGCCTTATGCTGACAACTGCTAAGAGGATTGGTAAATACTCAAAGTTTTCTTACACATTGTTGTTTTATTTAATTGACAATATTTGTTAACACAGAGTATTAGATACAAACAAGTATTTGTAGACATGCACAGACTGACATAATTTTTCAGTTGTTTCAGGGAAAGTATCCCAAAACCACTCTGTTGAGGTCACTTACCCATACAGAGGTCCATCGTTGCCAATAGCGGAAACCATGATAACATTGTTAGCAGTTAATTCCCACACCTACAAAATTAGCATGCATTTAGTTAATACAAGTATGCCACTCTAAACGGTCAACACATAATTATTGCTACAACCCTATGAGTTCAACAATCTTCCAAGGCAGTGTGGGCATGACAAGGTAGGCACATCTGGACACTAGTGTAGAGAGAGAACAGCACCCACGATGCAGGACTGAGCAGTGCAGGGCACACACACACCTCACTAGCCTGGTTCAGGAAGACAGGAGTGGAGGGGAGGAGAGGGGAGCGGAGCGGAACAGAGCAGAGGAGAACAGAGCAGAGCAGAGCAGAGCAGAGCAGAGCAGAGCAGAGCAGCTGAGCAGAGCAAAGCCTATACAGGTTAGAAAGGAATTAACAGGCCTTTAATCCACTGGTTTATGACATACAAGTCATTAAAGCTCATGTCACTATCTGTTTTCACAAAGCTGTCACTTGGGTAAGAAGCCACTAACCCACTGGAAATGACAGAGGTGGGAGACAAAAGAGTAGGAGCTACGCAAAAACTTGACCAACCTTGTCAACAAAGGGGTGATCCATGAAGTCAGGGCCACCAATGCTGAGGTTTAGTACATCAATTTTCTTCAAGATGGCGTAGTTGAAGGCATCCAAAAACCAAGACGTGTAAGACACCTAGTTAAATTAAAACACCTCCCAGTGTATCAGTGACCCTTTTTTTTTAGGATAAAGAATATGCTCTACGTAAAGCATAATTTATTTGTGTGTGTGTGTGTGGTGAACTAGGGTTTGAACTCAAGGCCTCACACTTGCTAGGCTGGCACAATACCAACGAGCCATGCCCCTAGTTCTTCCATAAGTATCTTTTAAAACAACAACAACAACAACAAAAACCTCAAATAAATCTCAAGCACAAATAAAAAACACAAAGCACATTATTATCCATCCACCAGCAAGACCTATGGCAGGGCAGCCTTGAGCATGCCTGAAGTTCAAGAAACAGAAAACTTAGGAATCACTGAACACAGTGGGCCTGGAGCAAGGTCTTCAGAGCTCAAGGCAGGTCAAGGCAAGTGGTGGTAGAAGGGCAAAGTCACACAGAGAAAGGACTAGGCAAGGCTCTAGCACAAGTGGGGCACCAGAGGGAAGCTTGGCATCACTGACAGGCACTGCTTATAAACACATTTTTACTTTTTACATTTCAGGACGGGTCCCATCAGTTTCAGGGGTCCTCAAACACCCACCTGGTTGTTGGTAAAGACCCTGAAGATATGAAGCTCTGCATCTGGGGCAAATCCTTGGCATTCTCTCATGCTGGCAATCACGCCTGCCACAAACGTACCATGGCCCAGACCTATGCCCACAGGAAGAAGAAGTCCTGTGAGACACTGCCATTTTACAAGTGCAATGCTGCTGCCAAGCCGTCTATGTAAATGTCATTCTCCAGCCCCACGGGAGAACTTGGTGGTACTCCACTGTCCTATACCCAAACTGCTGCCACTGCCCTCTGTGGGGCCCTCACCTGGCACCCCACCTCTGCTTCCCTACACCTCCTGAGATCTTCAGGAAAGCTTCTGTCATACAAAAAGGCACAAACAAGTGAAGTCTGACCACGTAACTGTGGTGCACAGACTGTGGGCCATTAGCACACAGAAAAGCACACTCTGCCTGACATGGACAAGGACAGGAAGGAGTGACAGCCTGAGGCCCCCAGTGGCCACTCTCTGTACACTGACACCTACCATCATCCAGAGTCCGCTCATTGGTCCAGTTGGTTCTCTCCTTCACATTCTTAAAGTGGGGGTGCTTCTCGCTCAGCCCAGTATCAAAAACAGCAACCCTGACATTTGCACCTATTCCAAAATGAAGAAATACAAGATCATATTTGGAAACATCTTTCTAAATTTGTGTCTATAAAATCAAGTTATGCATTTTAGTGCATACTTGTAATCCTGGCACTTGATGGGGGGGAAGGGGAGGCAAAGATTGAAGGCTTAAGTTCAAGGCAACTCTGAGCTACAGACACAGACACACACAGACACACACACACACACAGACACACACACACACACAGACACACACACACACACAGAGTCTCTGAGAAAAATGTTTCTAGTGATTACAGAGAATTTCTCATTCTAAAAATAACTTTAAAAAAAAACAGGAAAAGAAAATAATTTTACTAAAATGTCTGTCTAAGCTGGGTGCCGGTGGCTCACATCTGTAATCTTAGCTACTCAGGAGGCTGAGATCTGAGGATCGCAGTTCAAAGCCAGCCCAGGCAGGAAGGTCTGTGAGACTCTTATCTCCAATAAACCACTAGAAAACTGGAAGTGACACTGTGGCTCAAGCAGTAGAGCGCTTGCCTTGAGCTGAAGAGCGCAGGAACAGTGCCCAAGCCCAGAGTTCAAGCTCCACGACCGACAAAATAAAATAAAATAAAATGTCTGTCTACCAGGTATTAAATGTTGAAGTATCTCTGAGATGGTGAGGATATCAGGATAAGAAACCACAAGAGAGGCAAATATTCAACCAGGAGATTGAAGCCAAACCACCTGTGACAGTCTACAGGCAAGACTGGCTTATACTTGAATACGGGAAAAAAATTCTCACATTAGTTCAAGCAGGAATGTTCTGCATGATGGATGGTAAAACAATGGAACCTTATTGCTTTTATTTCAAAGATATGACCTTAATAGTTTCTCATTCTAAAACAGATCAGCAAGGGGAGTCAGTCACTAAGTCATTCTACATACAAAGCACCAAACTCAAGTGATAAAAACTGATTTTCACAAAATTACACAAATCCAGGTGACCATCTTGCAACAAGATCTCTTTCCTAGGAAGTATAGACCTCTACAGACTGCCAGCCAGCCCAGGCTTTGTGTGGGTGTTGATAGGAAAGAAATGCTCTGCAATCTGCCCTTCTGGACTCAGGACACATCTGGTGCCATATAAAAAAGTCAGACACAGATGCCAGCTACCAGAAGTCAAAGACAGGTGTAGCTCACTGCATGTTGCTCAACAAACAGCAAGGACAAACATAAGGTGGCACCGCACAAGACAGCCTCTGACACCAGACTTCCCACAGTCCCTCCTGATGGCACATACCTGTGTATCCCATCTGCCACAGCACATCTGCCTGTAGTGTCTGAGCAACCTGGCGTGGAATGGCTTTCAGCAACCGTCTACTTGAATGCCTTCCAGTGGCATGCCAGAAACCAGAGCCCAGAGAGAGACTGGCCCTCTTCAGGGGACGTGACGACTGCCACTTCTGGCTCCAGCGAGTTTCATTACAAGGCACAACAGGGTCCGCTGGAGCCAAGAAAGAGAACAATCAGAAAAAAGAAAATACACCACACTACAGCAGTGGTTCCTTGAAATCACATTTGAGGAGAAGTGGAATTCTCTCCTTTTTAGGATTTTTCTCAAAGCAGTAGAACCCTATGTAGTTCCCATACTATTACCAAACTGTCCTCTACTTAGAATTTTCTAACCAAGGTAAGGCAAAACAGGACTAACAAATTTTAAGAAGTTTTGCTAGGTATGGTAGCACATGTCTATAATCACAGCACTTGGGAGAGGATTTTGAATTTGAGGCCAACTTGGGCTATATAAAAAGTTCCATGCCAGACTGGATTACTTATTGAGACCATCTTTAAAAAAAAAAAAAGTTCAATTCTGTTACTTCATTTTTCACTAGCAGCTTATTCTCACTAAGCCGGAGAGGAATAAACTGGCCTCAAGGAGGTCATGAAGCCTTACACTACTGCCTTGTGCAGCAGAGAAAGGTATGTTGGCTACTAAATCTATTTCTGACTAAACCTTTTATTCTGGTGGAGGGAGGAAGGAGAGGGTTGGGAAAGGGTCTCATCTCAGGCTGGCCTTGAACTTGGAATCGTCCTGCCTCAGCCTCCTGAGGACTGGGATACAGACCACAGGTATGCACCACCATGCCCAGCACATAAGGGCCTTCTAGAACTATGCATTGCTCAGTATACTAATATTCTTACCTGGTTAAATTTCACATTTCCTAACCCAGAATAAATAGAAGGGGGAGAAGGAGGGAAAATTTCTGAAGATAATGGAACAATTCTGTATCACAATGGACTATATACTTTGGGGGAGGGGAGTAAAGGGACATGAACTTAGGGCCTAGGCATTTCCCTTAGCTCAAGGCTAGTGCTCTACCACTTTGAGCCTCCCACTTCTGTTTTTTTTTTGAGTGGTTAATTGGAGATAAGAGTCTCACGAGGACTTTTCTGCCTGGCCTAGTTTTGAACTGTGATCCTCAGATCTCAGTCTCCTGAATAGCCAGGATTACAGGCATGAGCCACTGGCACCTGGCTTGGACTGTACACTTTTGCCAAAACTTAGTTGCTAAGAATGATGCATTTTCCCATTTGTAAATCAATTTTTTTAATGGGAGAGAAAAGTGAAACAAATACAAGTTTTCTTTTTCATTCAGTAAGTTCATATTATAATGTGCCATCCATGTTAAGAACAAACCTATACTAGCAGCTGTTTCTAACACAAATGACTCTCCCAGGCTTAGCAGGTGACTCCTAGAGAGAACAAAATGTGGAAGCCCACTCAAAGTCAGCTATGTAAAACAAGTGCGGGCCCAGCCCACACACCCGCCGCACGGCACTGCTGCTCTGCTTGCTAAGTCCCTTCAGAAATAACACTGGAGTTACCAACGCTCAATCAAGGGTCAGGCTCTCTGCGTCACCCTGAGTGACTCACACTGCACTTGCGCTATCAAACTCAGTTGTAACCTTCACTATTTAAGAACAATTTAGAAAACCTGTAGAGCCATCAAGGAACAGATACCTTCATAATGCCTTTAAATACTGTCTTGTGGACAACAGGTTCATTTAGTCTGAGAGCTCATGGGATAGAACTAAGGCTGAAATCCAGGGCAGAACAGGATCATCCAAAACCAAGTGAAATGGTCTTCAAGTTAGAGGAAGAAACCATCACCATTCCACATCATTTACAATACTCTGCACACTCCTGAGCTGATTTCATTTACTCTTCCAGGAGCCCAGTAAGGGAGGTGGTAGATCCATTTTAGAGATGAGGAAAAAAAAGCTTCAGTGAAAAGGAGTTTACTGCTCAAGGGCACCACTAGGGGTAAGAAGCGCAGAGGCTCTACGTGTCTTTGTGGAATGATGCACATAGGACCACCACCAGGACAGTGTAGTGTTCCTATGCAAAAACATTCTAGAGTGCTCGATGATGAAAAAAACAAAATACAGATGAGTTCAAGTAAATACAATGTATGCAAACTGGCCAACTATCCCAGGTTTAATTTGATTTTCCTGGATCATTTTAGGGTACTATTGCCTTTTAAGGAGAAAAAAATAACACAAAACATCTGGACTAGCAGAAAGGACTCTGAAGAAGTTAGATCCCAGAAGTCTGCAGCTGAGTCAAGAACTAGCTTCCAACACTGTATGTTAACTTTTCAAAAACTGCATGCACAAGGCTCCCAACCTAGTATGTGACAGATATTCCTTTTAGTGAAGGAAAGGACAATAAACAGGACTAGCTAAAGCAGCTAAAACTATTTTCCTGGTTCATGATGAAGAGGACGGCCCTTTTGGCGATATACACTTTCGAAAACACTGCATGGTAGTTTGAACTTTTTATCTGAGGATAACTCTATGCTGACCTGAACAACTGGGATGGAGTGGCAGCTGTGGCCTTGGAGCCAACATGGGGAGCCAGACCCCCTTCCCCTCACCCCTGTGTCCAGCCCAGCTGAGGCACAGTTGTTCATAGACAGGAGGCTGGGACAGAAACAAATTAAAACCCAAGAAAAGATATTTTATAACAAAAACCTATGCTGAGAAAGCCAAACTCAGGCAAAGAGGAGACACAAAGGTAAGGTCTATGGGGAAGGTGGCACATGTCCCAGCACTCAGAGACTGAGGCAGGACTGACTCCCAGGCCAGCCTGGGCTATACAGCAACACTGTGTCACCAGAAAAAAAAGACAAGGTTGTTTCCCCTTCAGTAGTTTAGGGGCCCCAAGGTGATCCTGGACAGAATCCCTCCTAACAGAAGCAATCGCACCTCAACTGCAGAGCCTCAGGCTTCCTTTACCGCAAAGCCACAGAGCCGCATTGTACATGCCAGCCAGTAACATGTGGTAACACACCGCACTGCCTCCATGCTTCCTGCAGTGTGAACCTCAAGGGGACTGAAGAGGCCCAGTACTCACGCTCAGCAAATTTCAGGGAACGGAAGACCCTCCTCTGGGGCGTCACCCGCTTGATGTTGGGGTGGCCCTCAAGCGTCAGCAGCCCTGCCTTCTGCTTTTCCTTGATCTGAATCACCTCGAAGTCACTAGGGTAGTCACTGGAGGGATTGTTCCGAGGTATAATTCTCCAGTTGTCTACTTCACTGCTCTTCAGGGCGCTTGAAATAAATGAATTTCTAGCTTTGGCTGTAAAGTAGCCGTTGAAAGCCACAATATATTCTGAAATCAATGATCACAAAGAAAAATAAGGATATATGTGTATATAACAGAGTACATGTAATATGAACTTCCACCAGTAAAAGAAAGTAGCCCTGAAAGCCCAGAGTAAACAGAACAGATGGAAAGGAGTCTGGAGCCTGGAGAGTGCTTCAGAGCTCTGAATTAACCAATTTCACAATACACCATTCAAAACTATACTCCTATGAGAGTTTTATCAGTTGTTGCTGTTGTTTTTTAACAAAACTTTTTAACTAAGTAAGTATGAACTTACAATGAAAAATAGTTTTTCAAAAGGAAAAAGGAATTTAGGGAGTCAAGTGATCTGTTTTCATTTTGCTAAAAATGAACATACAATTGGAGAGTAGTTGAAATGGCCTATTTGCTTAGCTATCACACTTGGACAGTTGGGCTTTAGAACATGCACTCAGCAACTCCAAGCACCAGTGCTCCTGGCTACAAGGGTATTTGTTCCACAGAATCAAGTAGCCTGTGTTTCTCACAAGCAACCCGTCCTGGCAAAAGACTTGATTGAAGGTAAACCTTCATGTAGTGTGTGCTCATCTCATTAGACATCTACTGTAGAAAATCAGGACAAGTTCCCTGGCAACAGCAGAGGGTAGGGCTAACACTTCAGAAACACCATTACCATATTCCACAACTGTTGAGGAGAATTCCACCTTCAAAGTCAGATGGGAACAGCCAGGGCATGGCACTTTTTCAAACGCTTTCTTCTCCAGCCTGTCACCCAGATGTTTCTTCCCACAGAGCAAAACCACTAGCAAAAGCAGCCAGACATTGACAAGCTTCATGGTCACAAGTGAATAAAATTGCTAAAATCCAACCACACTTTTTCTTCCTTGATCAAAAATGAACTTGTGTTTTGGCTAAATGCTGCAACTTTACTGGTCAACCATCCTACAGTCTTGTCCAACGTAAATAGAAGTTAAGTCCCATGGCCATCCGCAGCTTGGCCCGTAGTGAGGCTTTCATTTCTTCCTTCGCTTCTTCTCCATTTTGGACAGAAGGCTGCTGTCATTCGGACCGACACCACTGAGTCCTCGACTCCATCTGCACAGAGCCAAGTCAAGCAGAGCTCAGCCAATATCACCGTGTGACGTGATCTCTGAAGCAAAAAGAGGAACACAAGCATTAGGAGCACCTGAGAGAGGCAGGCATGATCCAGTGACAGCTGCAATTAAGACTAAAGGAACAAAGGGTCCCAATGATAAGACATCCTATTTCATTTCTGTTCATGAGTCACTTGTTTCAGAGAAACAAGCTTTAAGGCAGCATTAAAATAAAGCAAGGGCAGTAAATGAAAAAGTGGCACAAACCACCAGCCTAAAAGAATTGTAGCCATCAGAAGCCTGAGCACACAGACCACAAGCAGCCAGGCACACACAGGAGGAGGTGGAGGCTTGCTCGGACCACAAGCAGCCAGGCACACACAGGAGGAGGTGGAGGCTTGCTCACACTCTGTATGGCTCCTGTTAACTTTAACTCAGCACCAGGCCATCTTACCAATACGCTCCTCATTCCCAACCAATTTCACCAAGTTTTCAGGAAAACTCAGTTTATGAGCATTATTTTCTACTGTAAAATTAATACCTAATGGCAAGGTAGTTTCTATCAAAGCCATTTTAACACAATCTTTAAGAAACAGTGTAGCCGGGCACTGGTGGCTCACGCCTATCATCCTAGCTACTCAGGAGGCTGAGATCTGAGGATCGTGGTTCAAAGCCAGCCCAGGTAGAAAAGTCCATGAAATTCATCTCCAATAAATCACCAGAAAACCGGAAGTGGCGCTGTGGCTCAAGTGGTAGAGTGCTTGCCTTGAGCTGAAGAGCTGAGGGACAGTGTTCAAGCCCAGAGCTCAAGCCCCATAACCGACCAAAAAAAAAAAAAGAGAGACAGTGCATTAAAAGTGCTCAGACTGTAAAATACTTCCTGCCAATTCCATGAAAAGTGCATAGAAAGGTTTTTACTGTCATTAGACTTGTTTTGCCAAACCCTCAAACTTAAAAAAACATTTAACCTGCTAAATCTGTTATAAAACCAGATCAGCCCTTTATTGGAACTGACATAAGAGGACAGCTTTGGAGGCAAGCTATTGCTAAAGAATGTTATTTCAGTATTAAATTATTCATGGTACAGGTATCTTTCAAAATATATGAATTGTAGGAGACAGGAAAAAAATCAGTCTTCCCAATAAACACAGCAAAAAATTATACACACACACACATACACACACACACACACACACACACACACATGCGCTAAGTACAGTGGCTCATGCCTATAATCCAACTACTTGGGAGACTGGAGGAGGATGCTGGTTTATGGTCATCCCAAGCAAAAAGTTACAAGAAACTGCACTTCAACTAACAGGCTGAGTTATACGACAGTCCCAGCTACATGGGAAGATATGTACATACATAGAAGGATCACAATCTAAGGTCAGCCTGGACAAAAATCTGAGACTCTTTCTAAAAAATAAGTAAAAGGCCTAGAGACATGTCTCAAGTGGTAGTGTTTACCTAACATGTGTGAGGTTCAAACTCCAGTACTGAAAAAAAAGAAATGCTGGCTGTGGTGTTACTAGAAAATCCAGCTGCACTGATGAACGTGAAACAAATAATGCAGAAGGAAGAGGGAGTAGGGAGAGGACAGGTGAAGAAGCATCAGCCCCCTCTCAAGGGGTTAAATCCTGGCAGAGTGCCACACTGTAGAGCAACAAGGGTTCAGCTTCTGCCCCTATCCACATGCTGGACACCTCCACAAACAGAATGAGAAGTTTGAGGCCCTCCATTGCTGCCATGAGCAACTACTCTGGAAAGCCTCTACTGCTAGAAGGGTGCTGGGGGAGGGGGAATTACTGGGGAAGATGAAACTGACAGCTGTCCTCTGGGCCTCAGCAGAAAGAACTACTACAATGTCAACAAGAGCAAAATACACCATGGAGAAGGAGCCTAGGATTCCTATTGTCACCCTAACACTTGCTAGGAACCCACCCAGACTTTGTGTGTCTTTATGCTGGGCATTTCCCACAATGGGGGAATCAAAGAATGTGATTTCATGAAGCATATACCCAGCTTAAAGATTACTGGTCAAATGATAACACTAAATGATAACACAAAAATGGTAGCATACTAACAACCTGGAATGTCTAAAAGGTTTAAATGGGTCCCTCACTCAGTGTGTCTTTTTTTTTTTAATGAAGAAAACAAATCTCAGAACTCTTCTGCCTCAAACTAAAGAATCTATGACCTGCCAGGCGCCAATGGCTCATGCCTGTAATCCTAGCTAGCAGGAGGCTGAGATCTGAGGATCTCAGTTCAAAGCCAGCCCGGGCAGGAAAAATCCGTGAAACTCTTATGTCCAATAAACCACCAGAAAACCAGAAGTGTTAGCCTTGAGCTGAAGAGTGCAAGGACAGCATTCAGGCCAAGTTCAAGCCCCACGACCGACCAAAAAAAAAAAAAAAAGAATCTATGACCTATTTGGACAACATAATAGAACACTGGAAGCAATACCATCAAAACTGTAGGCCAACTGGGATAAAACCACTTTGATTCTAAACAGTTCACTTACAGAAAAAGAATGAACTTGTATTGTGCTGTGGTCTATGTGGAAGGGAGCTGTGTGTCCTCATGACTCAGGCAGGAGCCTGACTTGAAAAGAAAGAAATAAGTCAGGCACTAGCCAGGCAGAAACAGGAAATTCAAGAGTTTGAAGCCAATCTGAAAAAAGGAAAAGGGGAAGGTAAAAGAGAAAAAAAGGAAGGAAGAAAAGAGTACAAGAAATAAACTAGAGGTTTTTAAAGCTTTTTTTTTTTTT